TTTAAGTTTAATAACTTATTAATAGCTATTAAGAAACTTTATTTTAATTATAATTATATTATAATTAGAAGTACTTTTTATAAAGTATTTAAAGAATATTAATATTTAAAGATTACCCTTATTATATAATAGATAATTATAAAGTATAAAAAATACTAATTAATAAAATCTTTTTATTTAATACTTTTAAATTTTAATCTAATTATATTACTAGCGCCTTTAATATACTAAGTAATTAATTTTATATTTATAAATAAAGTTTCTATTTTTATAGTAATTAAGTATATTATTAATTAAATTAAGGCTAAGATTATATTTAATATAACTTATAAAGTTATATTTATATTAATAAAAGAATTGTTAATGTTTTTAAAGTTTTAAAAGTAGATTTTAAATAATATAAACTACTTTATAGGTAAAGTTATTATAGGTTAGTATTACTATTATAAATTATATTTATATTTAATTATATTTAATAGATTAAAAGGAAATAGTAAGGTTAAAAGGTAAATAGTAATTTAAAAGAATAATTTTTATAAATAATTAGCTAACCTTAATTATAATATTTAAACCTTAATTTAGTAAGTAATTATATTATATAATTATATATTAAAGTTTTATAATTATAGCTTTTATTTTCTTTTTAAAATAGTATTTCTTTTAACTTAAAGCTATATATTATATATATATAGAAACTTATAAAGTAAAAAAAAGCTTTTATAAATAATTAGTAGCTAATTATAAGGTGCTAATTATAAAAATTATATAATTAGGCTTAAAGTGTTAAAAATTAAATTTATATTTTTTTAAAAAATAAGGCTTTATTTTATATTTTTATTTTAAGTAATTAGATATTATAAGTATATTAGTAAATATATAAGTATAAATTTTTTATAATAGCCTATAGGTAATTATTATTTATTATATTAAGAATACTTATATTTTTAAAGTTTTAATAAAATCTTTTTAAAATAAATATAATAGTATAAACCTTTTAATATATATTAGTAATAGATATTTTATAAAAGTTTATAATATATTAATAAAATAATATTAGAAAGAGATAAAAGGTAAATTACTAAATTAGTATAATTAAAAGTAGGCTAAGTAGTTGCCTTAACTAATAGGTTTTACTAGTTATAACTAGCTATTATTATTTATTTATTAATATTTTATTAATTATATAAAATTTTATAAATTTAAGTGATTTAGCTAGATTTAATAATTAAGCTTTAAATTAAAATAAAAGTAATTTAAAAAAATAAAAAGAAATTACTTAAATTAAATTTAAACCTAAAACTTTTATTATAGTAAATTTAAATTTTTATTAAAATAGAAATAATATATATCCTTTTAATTTTATAACCTTTTAATTAGTATAAATTAAAACTTAAATCTTAGAGTATATTATTATTATACTATTTTAGCTTAATTAATAAAAAGTAAATTTAAGTAGATTATAGGGAAAAAAACGAGATTTTAAGAGTATTTTAGCTAGTATTATTAAAGGATATAAATTATATAAGTAGATTAAGAATAGTTTATTTAAGGAAAAAAATAATATAAATTTATAGTTTAATTATATAAGTAAGCTTTATAGATAGTTAAAACTATATATTTATAGGTATATTTTAATAGTAGATTAAAAAAAGTAATAACCTAACTATCTATATTATTAGACTTTAAAATCCTTATGAATTTTAGCGTTTTAATATATGGGTATGGGTAAGATATATACCTTTTAGCCTAATTAGCTTTAAGGTTATTAGTTAAACTAGCTTATAGTAAAAGGCGCTAGCTAGCTTATAGCCCCTTTAGGGCCAGCCTATAATATTAAATAATATTTTTAAATAAAATTAATTATAATATATATATAATATTTATTAATTATAAAAAGGTAGTATTTTAATAAACCTTTTAATATAATTTAAAAAAGAAAAACTTTCTTTAATTATTTAATTATAATAAACTTTTTATTTAACCTTTCTTTATTATTATAAATTATTAATTTTTATAATTTATAAAATTATAAAAACTATTATTATTATATATTTAATACTTTAAATATAATTAAAAGGTTTAAAATTTATTTATAATAAATATATATTTTATAAAAAGGTTTATATATATAAATTAAAGTTCTTTTAAAGTAACTTATTATTTTTAAAATAATTAATTATAAATATTTTTAAACTTTTTTATTAATCTTTTTTATTAATATTTTAATAATTAATTAATTTAATAAATTTTATAATAAATAATTATATTAAATTAAACTATATAGAAATATCTTTTATTATTATTATTATTAATTATTTTATTTTAATTTATTAATATTTATAATTTTTAAAAATAAAGTAATAAATTAAAAAGTTTTAATTACTTTTCTTTAATAAAAGATATTAAAGAAAGAAAAGATTATTTAACTTATTAAAATCTATTTTTAATAAATTAAAATATAATTTAAATTATTTTAATTAATTAAAATAATATTAATTAATTCTTTTAAATATTAAAAATATATTTATAAATAGTAAATCTATTTTATATATTAAAAATAATTTTATAATATAATATATAAAATATATTAAATTTTAAAGGCTTTTTATATAAATATATTATCTTTAATTATTATAAATATATTATAAATTCTTTTTAATATTTTTTTATAATAATTAGAATAATATTTAAAGAAAGTTTAATAATTAAAAAAAATCCTTATAAAGTTATAAAAAGGTATAAATAAAATAGGGATAGATATATATATATATATAAATATAAGTATAGGGTAGTTAGAATTAGGGGGTAGTTGGAATATAGGCTGGGTATGTTAGAGATAAAATGAGCTATAATGTAGTATTATTTGTCGTTTTAGACCGCCGAAATTACAGGTATGGAACTAATCTAGATGATGGTTCGAGAGGCATTCGAAGGCCGACTCGAGATGTCGTACAAGAAGCGGCTGAGCTTGTACAAATGGCCTGTCGAGCCGCAGGAGGAGGGAAGTGATGTAACACAGGGGACGACGGCTTTGACTTTGACTCCGGCTCTGATTACTACTTCTCTGGCTGCACCATCCTCAGTCAAAGACCGGATAATCCGGCGTGGGCGACTGCAAATGGTTAGTTGAAGGCCAAATGCGTGGGGGGCTTTCAAATAAAAGGCAGCAGTGGTCTATCACTAACGTGGTTGTGCGGACTGAGGAGTATGTAGGTATCGCCTTGACTGCCTTCAAGGTTGTGGGCTACTCGAAGAGCACGCCACTCAAGATGGTCCCCATTATCCCAAGCGGATACCAGAGTTGTGGACATTTCGAGGAATCCCTTCAATAAGCCTAATATTTGTAGCACAGAATATGTCCCTAACGAGTCGTGGAAACTCTAATTTGAGCGGCTCATGTTGTCCCTGATGGTTCGGGGAGGGAGCGGAGGAATAATATGGGGTGGGACCCTAGATACTCGACCTTGCGAAATTGCTATAGAATCCGTACCTACTATTTCAGCCCAGATGTGGCGGAGAGACATGTTATAAAAAGGCCTCCTATCTAGTAAGCTAGTTAGGCAGAAAGAAGGAAGCAAATCTGGCGATTGCACGGGGAGCGGCTCGTATGCTGCAGGGGTGATGCCGAGGGTGATCTCCCAGAAGAGGCTCAATATTCGGTGCTGGGTGGGGCCGCTCGGCCTGGCGGCGAGCAATCGTCATCCCGGACTGAGAGGAGAGGGAGGCTGACGGGCAGGACTGATCGCTGGGAAACGTTGCCTTGCTGGTGTGTCTATCCAGCTAGCAATCAATCTTGTTGCTGTTACGGGGCTGGCAAATTATACACTGCACAAGTCGGGCTACAGATCAACAGGCGTGTCGGCGCGGCAGAAGCTGAAGTTCGACTCATCATGCTGGGCTGGGGGCTCTCCGGAAATCAGCCGAGGGGGGACGAGATATTTTTGGGTGGGAGAGGGCCCTGCCCTGGGGCACGGATGTACTGTGCATTGTATGTGGAGTGGAGGCAGTCGCTAGCTGACCTGGTGGGCGAGCCAGACTCCATCGTGGATCCTTCCCGCAGCCAGCCTGCCTGCCTGCCTGCCTGCCTGTCAATGCCTGCTACATACATAGTACTGCTACCACACAACACCCCATCACCCCATGTCATGTCAGACCTGCAGGCCCATGCCAGACAGACCACGAGGCAGTTGCGTCTCTCTCCCTCCATGGTCACTTTTTCTGATCTTCCTTCTTTTCCTTTCCCCTCCCCGCTAACTCCTAGGCTACCACGTCTCGCTGACCGCATCCTTCCTTCCCGTCCAAAGACCCCAGGCCCTTTCCCTCCCGCTCTAGGCAGTTTTGGCGCGCCCGCCAATCCCGGCTCTTGGAATGCGCCACCCAGGTCACGGGCAAGGCGTGCACCTTGCTACCTTAGTTAGTGTGCTTGGGTAGGTGGGTGGTAGGCTAGAGGCCGGATCGCAGGCCCCCCTCCGCCCAGCCCGACGTGCGCCTGCCGCCTTGATCCCTCCGAGTCCCGATCGCGTCTGTGTGCGTCCCAACTGCCACTAGTCACACCCAGCCCGTTGGTAGCCTTATGTGCTGGTGCTGGTGGTGCTTGGGTATGTATGTGAGTAATGCCCCGCGTCCGCCCGCGACGTGTGCCATAATCGCTTCACATTCCAGCCCCAGCCCGATCCAGTCCAGTCCTGGCAGGAAGAGCCCACCCTACCCACCGTATAAGGATCTCGAGGGGCCCCACACAACCTTATTGGGATTCCTTCAGCTTAGGAATTACCCTTATTGTTCCCACTCTTATACCTGCCTGTCTGCGCGCTCATCCATCCCTTTGCCCTGGCTGGTACGAGAACCGTTGTGTCTTACTAGTATATATCGACGGTACACACCAGACTTTTTGTCTCCCAACTCCTTTGCTCTAAACCTGTCCGTCCGAGAGAGAGACTTGTTTACCACGACCTCGTCGTCTTGTCGTCGTCCAAACCAAATTAATACCCCACAATACCATGGCCCCAGCCGCGCAGAAACCACTCGTCGGCCACTTCGACTGGCCGGCCATGAACCCACCCCAGAACTCGAGTAGGTTCATTCTACTGTCCCCGTCCTCTGTCCTCAGAGATCCACGTGAAAACCAACTAACACGCCCCCGCAGCCCGCCCGCTGCACCACACCCACTACGAGAGCCCCTTCCAGCAGGTCGACATGCGCCCGGGCCCGCTGCAGTCCGCCGCCGCCTTTTTCTCCCGGCACTTCTCCCCTTCCCACTGCGCCCCCCAGCGGCCCGTCGTGCTCGCCGTGGTCCTGGTCGCCTGCGCCGTCGCCCTCGTGGCGCTGGCGCTGTCCCTGTGCAGCAGTGCCGGCAGGAGGAGGGGCGGCGCTGACCACCACCAGAGGCGGGAGCGCCTGTGCCGGCGCCACTGCTACTTTGACGACGAGGACGACGGCTGCGACGACCAGGACCAGGGGTTTGTGGTGTGCGAGAAGGAGGAGGGTGAGGGTCTGCTGGTGGTGTGGTCGTCTGAAACCCGGCGGGGATCCGGGGCGGGTGCGGGTGACACTGGCGCTGGTGGTGGTGTTAGTGCCAAACCTGACCTGCCGCCGTTTCATGTTTCTGTCGTCCGCTCGGGCTTGATATGATGCACGACTGCATACGACCAATTTTTTTATTCTGCCTTGCGTGTGGCTTTTGTTTCACGTCTTGGCTTTTGTTGGTGGTTGTCGTTGATGGACTGCCCCGGGGGTGGGTTGGCTGAGGCGATGAAAGACTGCATGATGATACCCCCTCACCACCACCACCACCACCACAGCGGTCTGTCGTCGCGGGATAGACCATGCATGCATGCATCTATCCATCCATCTTCCTGGGTCGGGCTGGTGAGCCACCGAGGACCTCACTCAGCGCCGGCCTCTCTATTCATCATCGAGATCTGGAAATACCCGCGTGAGAAGACAGGTGGGCGGCCGAGCCGAACATGAGAGGGAACACGCGCGCCGCGGCGGTTTGTGCCTCAGAGGTTATTTTGGTCTCACCTGGTTGGGACCGCGTCTCTCGTTCATCGGGGTCTGCCGCAGCCCAGCCCAGCCCAGCCAGCCAGCCAGCCAGCCAGCTATCACCGGCCCTCAGGCGCACGACCTGCTGATTCCATCTCCCGCTCAAAAATCGCCCACGCGGACGCGGCGACGTTGACGGATGGGAGATTTCGGGGCCATCGCATCATAACCACCGGACCGGACGTTCGTTTTGCTGTGTCCGCCAGCGCAGCACACACACACACACACACTCACGTCAATGTCAACATCGCATTTAATCTCGGCTTAAGGGGGCGGGCACGGACAGACAGACCAAGAAGACGGCGTCTGCAACCAGAAAGATCTGAAGCCAACGCCTCTCAGGCCGAGGACAATGAGCGGCCCGGTCCTTGAGGCCGGCGGGTCTTTGCTTGCCCCCCCCTCTATCTTTGAGTGGGCATCTATCTATTTGTCTGTCTACCTGGGAAACTGGGCTTGAACTGGGCTTGGCTGGGTAGCTGGCTGTGAGGGGATGGTCACGCGGTGGCGGTGGTGATCGCGGTCTGACCTTGGCGATCTGCGCAGCATGCAGCGAACGAACGGCCCAAAACGATGGCGGGTTCCGAGGAGGCACATGAAGCGAGGTTGATTGTTTATGAGGGCGGGCTAGCTAGCTATGGCGTTCGGGCTCGCAGACGGCTTTTTGTTGATTACCTTGCATTTGCATATGTAGTCGAGTTTTTAAGATGATAATCATGATACCAATATATACCTGCGTTTGTTTGCCTTGCTTGCTTGCTCACCCTAGGGTACTTTTCCTTGCAATCTGTTCTCCCTGAATGAATGAATAAACGAATAAATGAATCTTTCACTTGGACTTTGGATTGGTCTTTAGGAGAGCTAATGATGGATAGTTGGATTCATCTGATGTGGGCTTGCTCTGACAACAAAAACCGGCCTGTTTGTGGGTCTATCCATCCACATCCACCCATCCGCACAAGACGGGTTCCCAACACAAGACGGCCTCCCAATATAAAGTCCCGCCCGAATTACACGGAACCAACCCTGTAGTATATTTCGAGGACAAATGTCCTATTCATTACTCAGTGTGGGCTATCACTGCCCAAGCTACCTACCCGATTACACGCGTCTGTCCATATGTCCGTCCTGCTGAGCTCAAAGCCTAGATGTATGTGTATGTGTATGTGATCCCAGGCCAGACAGACAGACAGATAAACAAACCCAAGAAAATAAATATAAAAAAACGCCAATTAATGCCCCCGCCCCCCCAAGCAGCTAGCCAAAACCTACTCCACCCCCACCCAACCGTGACGGCATCGCACAAGGACTGCCAGACCAGTCGCCACACACACATACAGACTATGCGCTCGGCTGAAAGAACCACAACAACCAAGCCAGTACCGCATACTAGTTATCCATAGCAGTACAGTACAGCACAGCACAGCACAGTACATAAAGCAGCCCATACCGCACCGCACCGCACCGCACCGCACCGTCACACACACACACACCACACCACACCCCAATCACCCAAACTTCTTCTCAAACTTCTTAAACATCCCAGTAACCCCGCGCTCGAGCCGCCCGGCATTCTCCTCCAGCCTGCCCCGCGGCTCCCGCTCCTTCTTGGCAGCCTTGTACCCCCGCGCCGCCACCTCGCCCTCGGTCGGCCGGTACGCCTGCTGGTGGATCCCGTACTCGCCGCCGCCGCCCGCGCCGTGGCCGCCCCCCTGCTGCGTCGCGTACGTGTAGTTTGAGAAGCCGCCCGGCGGCGGCGCCCCCGGCGGCGGCGGGGGCGGCGGGGTCGGGGTCGAGGTCCCGTGCGGCTGCTGCTGTTGGTGCGGCGCGGCGAAGCCTGGGCTCCCTGGGAACTGTGACGGCCCGGCGCCGTACGGGCTCTGCAGCGCGGGCGAGGGCATCCCGTGGGCGTGGGCGGGCATGGTGGCGGCGCGCGCCAGGCCCGGGTGCGGGTGTCCCACGCCTCCCACGCCTCCCACCCCTCCCCCTACCCCAAAGCCCTGCGGCGGCAGGCCCGGGCTCGCGACGGGCGGGCCGGGGAAGCTGGGCGCCCCGGGGGGGCCGGCGCCGAACTGGGGCGGCGGGACGCCCGGGCTCAGCGGGCTGCTCGTCATGTGCATGTGGGCGGGCATGCCCGACACGAGCCCGGGCGAGAAGGGGGTCCCGGCGTCCTGGGCGAGGCGGGCGTGCAGGGGGTTGACGTCGCCGTCCTCGGGGGGCGGGGTCTTCTCGCGGTGGCGGATCTGCTCCGGGGCCGCCGGGGCGGCCGGGTTGTAGGCCATCGGGGCGAAGCTGGCGGGCGAGGTTGTGGATTCTGGCGGTGTGTCGTTTCCGTCGTCGTTGTTGGGCAGGGCGGAGAGCGGCGGGGGCGCGAAGGAGGGGATGTTGGTGTTGCTGGTGCTGCTGCCCCTGCCGCCGTTGGGCTGCTGGGGCGGCGGCGGGGGGATCTTCGAGGCGTCTGAGAAGATGGCGGCGTTCTCCAGCTTCTGGACGAGCGGGTTCACGTCGGCTGCGTGCGAGTGTGAGTGCTGCTGGTGGTGGTGCCGCTGCTCGGCGCGTGACGGTGGGCCCGGCTCATCCTGGACGTCGACCTGGTTCGGTGGCAGGACGCGCCGGATGCCGTTTACAAAGGAGAGGGCGTCGTGCTGGGTCCAGAAGTAGATGTCGAGGGAGTGCAGCTTGTAGTGGTACTTGTTCTGGTTGTGGGGGTCGTACGTCGGCAGGTGCCACTCGTCGTGGCCCTCGACGTCGCCGACTGCCAGGTTGACCATGCAGTGCTGCCTGTAGGAGTAGGTGACGTGGACCTTGTCGAGGACTGCGGCGGGCATGACAAGAGTCGATGATCAGCTTCTTGTTGCCCAACCAAGGCCGGGTCTTCACTCACACCCATCAAATGCATCCTGGTCGTCTGTGCCGACGTGGTTTGCGACTTCTATGCGCGCCCTCCCCTCATTTGCGTTCTCGAACAGGTAGACATATGAGCCCTTGTCGAAGCGGTGGTGTGGAGGTGAGTCGGTGGGCGGGCCGTAGAAGTAATGCACATCGCCAAAGCTGTGAGTGGGCGGGGCGCGGAGCACGGGTTGTCAGCCACGGGGAGCATGAGATAATCGGATGGACCAAGTCTCCTTTTTCACTTACAGCGTGGCCACATTTTCCTCTCCCGGCCTGAGAGCCATCTTTCAAGGGGAGGGAGGGGTCGCAGGAGCTCCCCAAGGGAGGAACAATCGGAGATCCGACGCGGGTAGGCTAAGAACGGCGCAAGGCGGCGCACGAGATGGAGAGTACTTCAGAGAGAGATGTGTTCGCTTGAAGCACAATAACAGCAACAGGCACGGTCAAAGTAACAGAGCAGTTGAAAGTCGAGAGAAAAGAGTCTGGAGGAGAAGAAGAGGGAAAAAAAAGGCAGACCTCACCCCCCCAACTTTAAGAAGCGACACACACAAACCCAGCAGTTCCGGACGTCACCTCGGGAGGCGGACGGCCCACAGCACACATGCAAGCACTGCTAGCGAGTGGTGCATGTGCCATGTGCGACCCTCTGTGATTGATTCCCTCCCTCCCTCTCTCACCTCTCACCTCCCTCTCACTCAATCGCGACGATCCCGGCAGAGACACCCCCAGGCAGCCCGCATGTTGGGCGCTTAGCAGTGCTCGTCTTGGGGTGGCATCGCTCCGTGGTTGGCCAATGGCTGCGCTGCGGTCGGGGCGAGTGGGGTGGGGTCGACGGCGGGACGGGAGCAGCAAGCAGGCAAGGCAGGGCATGGCAGGACAGGGGTCCAGCTCCAGACTCCCGGAGGCGGTCCAGAGTACACGGGTACATCACTCCTCGGGCGCAAGCTCTGGTGGTCTGTGCGTCTGCAGGCTGGCTCCCGAAATTTTGGGGAGACGATGATCGTTGAATGGTGTTGTGATACTACAAGACTTTCTCCCCTCGACCCGGTGGCAAGACGACAACACCGACGAGCAAACCGCCTAGATAAACAGAAAGCGGGAGATTGGACCTCTGCTCACCCTCACCCGCCGCAACACCCCAGCATCACCACCATCCCAGCCGCGAAATCCGAACACCACCCAACGAGCCCAAGACACAAGACCGAACGAGACCCCCACGACGAGACCCAAAAACAGGAGGGGCCTCTCCCAAAGAGCAGAGCGCTCCCTCTCCCTCCGGCCCAACACACCAACAACACCCACCCACACCCACACCCACAGCCCGCCACCAAGATGGGCATAGCAAACATAGCAAACGCCTGCGCGCACCTCCAGAACGCCTCCCGCGCCCGCCTGGGCCTGACCTCCCTCCCAAACACGAAATACAACCTCCTCTTCGCGCTGGCCCTGCACCGCTCGGGGCTGGTGTCGCACGTCGTGCGCGCGGGGCCCACGCCCCCTCCCCCCGAGCAGCTCCTGACCCTCGAGCCCGAGCCCGTGACCACCGCCAACGTCGCGACGCGGCGCCTGTGGCTGGGGCTCAAGTACGTCGGCGACCAGCCCGTCATGCGCAACGTCAAGTCCGTCAGCAAGCCCAGCCGGCCCATCACGATGAAGCTGCCGGGGCTGCGGCGCATCGCGCGCGGGTTCGAGGAGGGCTACGTCGACGGGTTGAAGATGGGCGAGTGCATGTTTGTCGCCACCGACAAGGGGGTGCTTGAGATCCGGGAGGCGCTGGAGAAGGAGATCGGGGGGCTTGTGCTGGCGCGGGTGTCGCCTTATTGAGGGGGGTTGGTCTCTTTTTTTTTTTCTTTGATGAAGGGCTGGGTGTTTTTGTAGGGAAGGGGAAGGAGGGATTGGGCGAGTCATCGGGTGAGGGGGCTTTTGAGAGAGAAACGGTGTGTGTGTGAGAGAGAGAGAGAGGCTCAAAGGACCAAGATGAGCGGGATGGATGGCAGCACGGCATGGCATGGCATGGCATGGCAAGGCAAGGCGGCTCCGGGTCCCAAGGACAGACAGACAGCCAGCCCGCGAGACGCGCAACGGCAGCCAATGATGGCGAGATCATGCTCCAAGAACCTGTCCGCCGCCGCCGGGTCAACGATTCTGCGGAAAGCGAGACTGAAGCGGAGAGAGTATTTGTCGCCGTCGTCGAGGAGGAAGCCATGATCTATCTGATCGACCGGCGCAAAAGTCTCTCGACCGACTCGCTCGGCTGCGGAGAGCAGCCGACCGGGCCATCATTGTGACATACTCTCCATCCAATATGAAGACAAACAAAATCAAACTACTTACGCACCTCCCTCCCCAAAAAACTCTTTGGCTGGCTGGCTAGCCCACAAGGGACAAGATGCCCCAGCCCCAGCTTTGACTGTATGTGGTTTTGACGGCCCCAGGAATACAGATAGGCCTTCCATCGATCTATCCTTCTCCCCACCCACCCACGGAGCTGGCAATCCCACGGAGGCACACACACATCATATTCACCACACTCGAGATGGACGGACCACCAGCAAAATGGACACGCGACAGACAGCAAACAGCCATCAGCCCTCCCTCACCAGCCCCAAGTCCTCCCCCCGCCTCCCCAGCAAAACATCCAAGTCACAATACGCACACAACAATAAAAACAAGCACACCCGAAGAAAAGAAAGGCCAAGAACGGCAAGGGGTATATCCATTTGTACATCCTCTTCCAACTCGAGAGTTCTATCTTGCTGTGCTCCCCCCCCCTGTGCTTTTCCCCCTTGTGCTTTCCCCCTCTCACTGCTGCTGCTGCCCCCGCCGCTGCCCCGGAGGTATCATATGAGAAAACCAAAATTCCCCGAGAACCAAAAAACCCAAAAACGCTTTCCCTAGAGTCGTGATCGCCATGCATGTATGGATATCGAGAATGAATAGAACAAAAACACCACACCACATCACATCACATCAGATTCATCGACATAACTCCCACCACCCTCCCTCCCTCCCTCGTTTTTCCTTTTTTTTTCTTTCCCTCTTCTTTCCTTTCCTTTCCTCACCACGTCTCCTCCTCATCCAGAGCCCCCGCCGCCTTGCCGTTGCCGTTGCCCCCCGGGCCATCATCCACAGGCGCAGGCCCCTCCGCCTCCGCCTCCTCGTGGTGGTGGTCGCCATCGGCCAGCGCCCCCGCCTCGCCGGGCCTGCTGTCCTCCTCCAGCTCCTCCGCGATGGTGGCCTCGCGCTCGGGGGTCCTCGGCGGCGCATCATCATGAACCGCGATCGACATGTCCTCGACGGCCGTCGCGATATCCCTGTCTGCCAATGACGAAGACTCCTTCCTGACCACCACCCTCTCGGGGCTGGGAGCCGCAGAGGTAGCCGCGGACGTCGACTTGGACACGGCGGGCCTCCTGGCCGCGGGGACGGACTTTGCGCTGGCCGACTTCTTGACCACCCCCGCCGCCGGCCGCCGCGGCGGCGTGACGGGCACCTTCTCGTTCTTCTTGGACGCGCTCGCCTGCGTGGGCCGCATCATCCGCGCCAGGAAGCCCTCGTCGACCTTGGCGTCCTTCTTGGCGACGGGGTGGTCCTTGGCCGGCTGCTTGGGCGGCGGCCCGAAGCTGGGCCGCTGCCGCCCGGCCGCCGAGGACGAGCGCCCCAGCGCCTTGGTCCGGCTCGCCGAGCGGGCCGAGTTGTTCTCGTGGGAGGGCGGGGGCGGGACGCTGCCCGAGGGGACCCTGGACCTGGACCCCGAGGCGGTAGTGTGCGTGGTCAGGCTGGCGGGGAGCTTGACGGGGCGCGTTGGCGACTTTGGCCTGGGCTTCACGAAGCCGCCCGGGGAGACGCTGGCCGGCACTGCCTTCTTGTCCGTGGTGCTTGCTCTTGCGGCTTTCGGCGTCGTTGGCGGGTGGGACGTCGTGGTGGTGGTGGTGTTGTTGTTGGCTGGCCTGGTGGCGGCTCTCGGTTGCGGCACTGGGTCGGGAGACATGACCAGCTCCTTATCCGTCACCTTCCGGGCAGGCGCTGCTGATACTGCTGCCGGCTTCGATGCCCCTGTTGATGGTTTTGTCACGGGCACTCTCTCCGGAGCAGCTGACACTGCTGGTCTTGCCGAAGCAGCTGGTGTGGACTTTGCTGGTGTGGATTTTGCTGATGCCTCAGCGGCATTCACGCCGTTGGCGCCGTTGACCTTCTTTACATCGTCGCCGGCGGGCTTCGCCGGTGTTTCCGAAGCTGCTGGTGTGGACCTTGCCGGTGTTCCGACGGCCTCCACGGCCTTCACCCCATTTGTTTTCTTCTCCTGCTCGCCAGCCGAGGGTGGCGGACCAACAGCGTCTTGACTCTTCAAAGAATGGCTGCCAAAATCGGATTTCCTCGCGCGAGGGTCTTCTTTGATCTGCGGGGACGCGGCGAGCCCCTTTGGTGGGTCGCCGGGGGCGAGGCTGGCGGTTTCTTTGGGTGGTTCTGCATGGCTGGTAGTCGTCGTTGAAGAGGCGATCGTGCTGATATTGTCCGGGTGGACCGAGGACCCCGCCTCGGTGTCCTGACTGAGTTTCCTGCCCGACACGCTCGAGGCCTCGCTGGGGTCCCGCTGCTGGAGCCCTATGCGGCCGTCCTTCTCGATTGCCACGAAGCTCGTCCGGACCTTGGAAAGGGGACGGGGCGACTCGGTTCCGGCTGGAAGAGGGAGAGGGACCAAGTCAGCAATGGGACAGGAGGAATGTCTTAGCAAAAGGACCAGGAAAACCAGCGCCGTATATGCATTACAAGACTTTGTTTCTGGGTGCTCGGTGCCATGACACAGAATGGGGGGCGCACAGGATGGGCGGAGGACGAGAACAATGGAGAGGGGCAAAACAAACAGATTGATTCATTTGCACTCGAAGACACACCAGGTGATCGCCCACGGTCGGGCGGGCTTTCCTGAGTTTTGTTCTCGAACATGGCCCGGAGGTTCCTGACGCTCATCTTGGCGGGCTGTCGAGGAGAGAGGCGGGCTCGAACACGGCCGGTACGGGTGGGGTTTCGGTATGGAGGTAGGTTGCTTGGGTGGTCGTGGGAGAAGGAGCAAGCAAGGCCGGGAGGCTGCCCCTCGTGCTGGTGCTGGGATCTGAGGTGTTGTTGTTGTTTTGTTTGTTCGTAGGAGAGAAGGAGTGAGGCGAGGCGAGGGAAGGTCCCGGAAGGGGAAGGTATGAGCTGGCCTCAGCCGTTGCGAAGCTGTCGTGGGCGCCTTGTTCTGCCTGGGGTGGCTTTGTTGTAGCAGTCGTAATTGTAGCAGCAGTGGTAATAATAGCTGTCAGGGAAGGGCTGTCCTCTGACCCGGTCTTAAGGGCTGCCCTTGGCCTGGAGAGGGCAGCGACGGGGGTGTCAATCAAACAAGCCCGGATCCCTGGCCCCTTTTTCTGCGACGCGGGAGCGGGAGCTCCTGACGCTAGGCGAACGCGTCTGGACCTGCCACGGGCTGACGGGATGGGCTGGCTCAGCACAGGGTCAAGAGAGGTGCATGCATGTGCAGCAGCCGTCGTAGCGTGTAATCCAAGCACGGTTGGCGCGGGCTGCAGCTGCGCCGATCTTGTCTCCGTATCGATATAGAACTGATGGGTGCGGTGATGGATGAATGACCACAGATGTGTGTGAGTAACCTCAGGTAATGAACAAGTACGTAGACAGACACTGCAACAGCCTGACAGCCCGACAGTCTGTTTGATATGTGGCTGGCAGCGGGTTATTAGATATTGACTGATGCGTGAGGCAAATAACAGGAGGGGTGCCGCAGGGCCCACAGCCGAGCGACAGGGCTCGTAGGGCTCGTTTGGAATATAGCAGGAAACATGGACTATTCTCCCCATCTTGCCATGGCCCATGGCTCCTCCTCTGCTCCTGTCAGTCAGTCAGCGTGCGTGGCTGGCCCCTCCCGTCGACCTCGGCCGTTTGGCTGGTTGGCCTCCGTCTCGGGACGGTGCGAAGAGAAGTGGATATAAATAATTGTGGCGTATTCTCGGGACTCGCAGACTCGGCGACTGCGCATCGTCTTGTTGCACACCGCAACTAACAGCCACCCTCTCACCAGCTGGACTGAATTGCCTTTCTGGACCGAGTCTCGCTCGGCAACCCGTGCTCTGTGCCCTGTGCTCCGTACCTCCCTCACCTCGTACGTAATGTGTGGCGGGCAGAGCATGGCGGTGCCGAAAAGGGAAGGGCTGGTTTAAATTAGAAGTGCTTTGAGAAGGGTCCTTGGGTGGGTTGCCTCATTTTGGCCCCCTCTCGCCCAGGTCGTTGGTCGTTGGAATGGCTGGCCATCATCGTCGTGGCCACAAGTGTGCTGCATGCACCCACGAATTGACGGCGCAGACCCATCTGCCGTCGACGTGCAGACGTGCAGTCGTGCTGATGGGGAAGCTTTGGACAGTGTAAAGGCCTGGTCTTTTTTGGGTGGCAGCTTAGTGTGTTTGTCGATCCCATTGGGGGTCGGCCGTTTCACACCAAAGTCTCTGCCTCGACACGGCATATGCAGGCCAGAGGATCGTGCGACGGCGGCAGGGGGGACAGACTAAAATGCAGACATGAACCAACACCCAGGAATCAAAATTGACCATGTGTGTACCGAGATGGGGTTGGGTCGACACCACCAGCAAATATGTCCTCAGCAGCTCAGCAATGAGTCAAAAGCCAACGTGGCTTCCACCCACCTCATAATACACATCCTCGGTTCGACAAGGTCATCTTGGAAGACAAGAAGTCTGAAACTGGCCGTTGGGCTCGCCAGGTGTTCCTGCCTCTAGTCTAGTTGCATCTGTGCCACCTGCCATCCAGACGGCTGGGTAGGATTCATAATTTGTGTGGTTTCCAGGTCGGACAAGCTGCTTCACAGTCGCGACAGTCTTGCGCTCTGCTTGACCTGAATGAAGTCAACTGCAGAATGATCAATTGTAGAAACGCCATTACAACGAACAGCCTCGAAGCAGAGCGATGAACCGTGGTGCTCTTCTCAGAAAACAGTCTTTAACCCAAAAAGGCAGGGTGCCTGAAATGCTCCCACCGGACCCTGAACTGGGCTGAGCCAAGCTCCGACCCCGGACTCGCTCGGCCCCACGCCTCGCTGAGATCTTCACAAGCTCTGGGAAACCATCGAAGCCGCCCGTCACGCTCAAGCTTTTCCCCAGCGAACCTCTCACCATCCGCCCAGACCAGCGAGCCAATTGATCCCAAGATGGCAGCCAGAACACTCAGGATCGGTATGAACCCCTTGAATCCAGAAGAACAAGCGAAACAGATCCCACAACCCGGCCGGCTGACTGACTGACTAACACGGTCCACCCCAACAGGCCTCATCCCCGGCGATGGCATAGGCAAGGAGGTGATCCCCGCAGGCCGGCGCCTGCTCGAGGCCCTCCCGGCCTCCCTGGGCCTAAAGTTCTCCTTCGTCGACCTGGACGCCGGCTTCGAGACCTTCGAGAGGACAGGCGTCGCCCTCCCCCAGCGCACGGTCGACACCCTCAAGGCCGAGTGCGACGGCGCCCTCTTCGGCGCGGTGCAGTCGCCCTCCAAGGCCGTCAAGGGCTACTCCTCCCCGATCGTGGCGCTGCGCAAGAAGCTCGACCTGTACGCCAACGTGCGCCCCGTCAAGGGCGTCGCGAGCAGCCTCCACGGCCAGCCCGCCGTCGACATGGTCATCGTGCGCGAGAACACCGAGGACCTGTACGTCAAGGAGGAGAAGACGGTCGAGGGCGGGCCGGGCGGGCGGCCCGTGGCCGAGGCCATCAAGCGCATCTCGGGCCGCGCGTCGTACCGCATCGCCGAGATGGCGGGGCAGATCGCGCAGCGGCGGCAGAAGATGCGCGACGCGGGCGCGGCCAGCATCCACGGCTCCTCGGGCGCGCTGGTCACGGTCGTGCACAAGTCCAACGTCCTCTCGCAGACGGACGGGCTCTTCCGCTCCACGGCGCGCGAGGCCCTCGCCGAGACCAGCCCCTCGGTCCGCGTCGAGGAGCAGATCGTCGACTCGATGGCCCTCAAGCTGGTCCAGCAGCCCGCGCACTACGACGTCGTCGTCGCCCCCAACCTGTACGGCGACATCCTCTCCGACCAGGGCGCGGGCCTCCTCGGCTCCCTGGGCCTGATCCCCTCCGCCAACGTCGGCGAGGGCTTCGCCATCGGCGAGCCGGTGCACGGCAGCGCCCCGGACATTGTCGGGCAGCACAAGGCCAACCCCATCGCCACCCTGCGCAGCGTCGGCGTCATGCTCGAGTTCATGGACCTCGAGCTCGCTGCCGCGCAGATCTACGCCGCCGTCGACGCCACCCTCGCCGCTGGCGTCGTCACGCCTGACCTGGGCGGCAAGTACACCACCACCGAGGTGCTTGAGGATGTCCTGAAGCGCCTGTGAGCGGGCCGCTGGGACTGGATGGGAGGGGTGTGTATGTGTGAGGCCGGAGCCAAAGCCTGCGGTTTGTGAGACTGTTGCGGTGTCGTTACGGAATAGGTATAGACAAAATGGATACCATGAATTGAAACCAATACTTCATTCAGCTCGCACTGTCTGCTGGGTGGAGTGACATGACACGTAGAAATTGAAGTCTCGCACAGTTGACGGCCCCAGCACTGGAGGAGAGAGGATAAGCGTTGTCTTTGATTTTTGTGCAGGCAGTCAGTGTCATCGGTCTATATAACATTTTGTATGAGAACAGCGGCCGCTCGGGGGGTAAATTTCCCGGCAAGCGCGCCTCTTTCTGACCAGGCTTCTCTCTAGTCTAAACCATGCCATGCCAGAATAAAGTAAAGATGAGCACCCCGTCTGTTTATATATGGTTGGGCACACACATATCCTTTTGATATAGTACAATTCTCCAGATCATGAACTCATCATCCACGATCGTCCATGTTGCAACTCTCCACCTCTCTTGGCACGGCCACCATCTTGTGGCCGTGCAGCCTAGGTGAGGCTATGCTCTCGGATTGAGAGACATCGTGTGGAGGGCTTCTATTTCGCGAACCTCTCCTTCTCGTACTTGGCGATGAGTTCCTTCCTGTAGTTGGTTGGGTCCATTAGCATTCACTCGATCGTAGGGGATAGGGGATAGGGGACGTTTCAAAGGCTTACTGCAGCTGAGGCGGCGCGGCGGCGTAGTGGCTGAACTCCATGCTGAACTCGCCCTTGCCCTGGGTGGCGGCGCGCAGGTGCGAGCTGAAGCCGAACATGGCGTTGAGGGAGCAGTCGGCGGTGAGCGTGAAGTCCTCGGGGCCGATCTCGGTGTCGACGATGGTGCCGCGCTTGTTCATGAGCATGATGATGTTGCCCTGGAACTCGTTGGGCGCCGTGATGGTCGTCTTCATCAGCGGCTCGAGCACGGTGCCGCCGGCGTCCTTGAACGCCTTGCGGAACGCGGCCTGCGTCGCCATCTGGAACGCGTAGTCGGACGAGTCCGTCACGTGCGTCGCGCCGTCGTTGACCACCAGCTTGGCGCCGATGACCTTGTGGCCCAGCAGGGGGCCCTCCTCGCAGCCCAGCTCGAAGCCCTTGCCGCAGGCCGACAGGTACTTGTCCGGGATGGTGCCGCCGACCACCTGCGTCTCGAAGTGGTTCTTCTCCGGGTCCTCGGGGTTCGGCTCCAGGAAGCCCATGACGCGCGCGAAGTCGCCCGGGCCGCCGGTCTGCTTCTTGAGGAGGTAGTCGAAGTCGGCGCGGCGGGTGATGGTCTCACGGTAGGCGACGCGGGGCTGGCCCGTCTCGCACTCGACCTTGTACTCGCGGCGGAGGCGCTCGACGTAGACCTCGAGGTGGAGCTCACCCATGCCGGAAATAATAGTCTCCTCGGACTCCTCGTCGACGGTCAGGCGGAAGGTGGGGTCCTCGCGCTGGAAGCGGTTCATGGCCTTGGAGAAGGGGTCGGCGTCGCTGCTGCGCTTGGGCTTGATGGACAGGGACATGACGGCGTCGGGGACGTACATGGAGCTCATGGTGTAGGGGAGGTTGCCGTCGGTAAAGGTGTCGCCCGAGGCGCAGTCGACACCAAAGACGGCGCAGATCTCACCGGCGCCAATCTCGGCGACGTCCTCCATGTCGTTGGAGTGCATGCGCACGATACGCGGGATGCGGACCTTCTTGTTGGTGCGCGAGTTGAACAGGTAGCTGCCCTTCTTGAGCTGGCCCTGGTAGACGCGGATGTAGGTGAGCTGGCCGTAGGGGTTCTCCTCGAGCTTGAAGGCGAGGCCGACAAAGGGCAGGGCGTTGTAGGGGACAAGGGCGGTCGGCTTCTCGCCCTGGGAGCGGTCGAGGGCCATGTTCTGCACGTCGGCGGGGTTCGGCAGGAAGTCACAGATGGCGTCGAGCATGGGCTGGATGGACTTGTCGCCGAGGGCGGTGCCCATCAGGACAGGGGTGAACTTGAGGCCGATGGTGGCGCGGCGGATGGCGGCCTTGATCTGCTCGGGGGTGGGCTCCTTCTCGTCCAGGAACATCTCGGCCATCTCGTCGTCGACGTCGGCGAGCTTCTCGATCAGCTCCTGGCGCTTCTGCTGGGCGAGCTCCTTGAGGTCCTCGGGGATCTGGTCGGAGATCTTGAGCTGGACACCACGGTGGCCGTCGTTGCGGATGGCGCGCATGTGGATCAGGTCGACGACGCCCTCGAACTCCTTCTCGGAGCCGATGGGGACCTGGATAGCGGCGGCGGGGATCCTGAGCTTGGAGTTGATCTGCTCGACGGCCTTGAAGGGGTTGGCACCCATGCGGTCCATCTTGTTCACGAAGCTAATGCGGGGGACGTTGTACCGTTTCATCTGCCTGTCGACGGTGATGGTCTGACTCTGGACGCCGCTGACGGCGCAGAGAATCATGGCGGCACCGTCGAGAACTCGCAGGGCGCGCTCGACCTCGATGGTGAAGTCGACGTGGCCCGGGGTGTCGATGAGGTTGATGTGGTAGGTTTCCGTTTTTCCGTTTTCCTTCTTCTCCCAGTCGCAGAAGGTAGCAGCCGATTGGATGGTGATTCCTCGCTCGCGTTCCAGTTCCATAGAGTCCATCTTTGCGCCGACGCTGTCGCGGCCTCTGACCTCGTGGATGGCCTTGATGCGGCCGGTGTAGAAGAGGACTCGCTCGGTGCATGTCGTTTTACCACTGTCGATGTGTGCCTGGCATCTGTCAGACCAGACCTGGGACAGCAGAGGATTTACCAATCAGGGGACTGTCTCTTACTGCAATACCAATGTTTCGGACCATAGAAAGACGCTTGGTCTCCTCGGGACTCATGCGCGCCTTGACGACTTCGGGGGACAGATTGGCCGCATCCTTTGCGGCCTTGAGACTGTTTGCAAAGGCACATCAGTCAGTATGAAGGCCAACCAACAACCAATACAGTGCCGGTCAACAACATACGCTTCCTGGGCGGCGTTCAGGGCAGCGCCCCTCTGGACAGACTGGCTGAAGCTCCTGGCGCCGTGGGGCTGGGCGGGCTGCTGCCGCGGCGCATCGGAGCTCGCCCTGCAGCTCCAGCTGCTCAGGCTCAGGAGCCTTGCGCCGGGGCTCGAGCTGAAAATGCGACCGTCACTGAGGACGGCCACGGCTCTTGAGGCCCTCATCTTCACAAACTCATTGGGGGGATGTGACCTAAAGAAAGACTGGGGTCGGGAGAGAAAGGCGTGGCGCGTATCCCAAGTCTCTAAAGTAGTTTAATTCGAATAATTTTTTGGGGCCCCCGGCAGGCATCCCTGCACGTCGGCCCCGGTTCGGCCACTTGCACACGCCTGCACCCGCTTCCCTGCCTTTTGTTGATGAGGGTATAGGTTGCAAATCCTGCACGACCGACATCTCCCGAATGATTACATTCGGATATGGTGTAATGGTTAACATCGGTGACTCTCACTCACCAGCTCGGGGTTCGATTCCCCGTATCCGAGATACTCAAGGCTCCAGCCTTCCTTCCATTCTTTTTCTTTTTTGCTCTTTCTTTTCATTTTGTGTTCATGTTGTGTAGTCGCCTGTCATGCTCAGAAAATGGTCACAAAATACTTGTCGAATCACCGGTGGGGGCAGAGGCAAAGACTCGCCGTTACTTAGAGCGACTCCCTGGCATCACATAGTGTTGTCACTTTTGTCAATTAGTTACCTGAGCCACAAACTCGCTCATGATCTTGTTTTACATGCTTACCATGTTCAGTGGCAGTTCAATAGGGATGATTGACAAGGTCGTATTGGTCCGTTGCTCCCGTATCAAATGGCCATGTTGCTTCGAGGCTGGGCTGCAAATCGATCTAGCTCGGCGTCTTCCGAATTCCTGCGCGATATGTCTGGTTCGCTATTTCCAACACGGTTAGGGATGTGTCTGGTCATTTGTTACAAGGCTGTCAATTATTTTGGGCTGCCAGACTGCCACACTGCCAGACAGCTAGAATCTCTAATAAACCACTGCACATAGTCGCTGGCATCGATCTGGTCTTTCCCTGCCGATCTCCAAGCCACGCCGTTTGGCTCGAGGTCATGACGTATTCCAACTAGCAACGGGAACGCTGGATCTACCCGTCATACATAACAATCAACACTAGACTAAACCTATTCCTAGTGCTTGAAAGCAACGTGCACATGCCTGTGATATCAAATCAAAGACAACCCATTTCCGTCTAACGATAGGTGAGCACACCTGGTATTACTGCTCTTCACACCAGCGAACCACCTCGATAATTCTAATCAATGGCACAGAACTCGCTTGGCCCTGATATTGAAAGAGACACGGCGCAACCCATGGCCCAGAACGGATCCTCGCCCAAGGATGGACGCAAGCGCGTCCTTGTCGTGGGTGCCGGCGCTGCCGGGTAAGTGCGTCAAGTCCAGTGAGCGGTATTGGTGCTAAATCTCTGGCAGCATGTCCACGGCATACCATCTCTCGCAGCATCGTGACAAGTTCAACGTGACGCTCATAGACGCGGTCGACTACTGCGGAGGCCAGGCATTCTCCATCCCCCTGGACAAGGAACGCTACGGTGCATCATGGTGCAACCAGGGCGTCCAGGGCGGCTCTTACATCTTCCACCACACTCTCACCATGTTCCAGCGCCAGGGCTTTCATGCGGATCCCGTCGAGCTGCAGGTCTCCTTCGGCAAAGACGAGACGTTCTGGTCAAACGTCTTCCCCACGCAGCTCATGCTCAAGCACAAGAAGGAGGTGAAGCGCCTAGTCACCCTGCTCAAGGTCATGCGGATGTTCGAGGTCTTCTTCGCGCTGCTGCCACTCAGGATGGTCTTCAAGCTGTTCATGTTCTCAGAGGACTTCATCAACATCGTGGCCCTGCCGATGACAGCCTTGTTCCTCGGCACTGGAAACGCCACGCCCGAGACGCCAGCCATCATGTTCGAGCGGCTATGCACTTCTCCCACGTACGGCATGTGGTACCACCCAGACGAGCATTCCGTCGTCAGCAATCAGCCGCCGATGGTCGTCTTCCCCAAGTTCTCAGATTTCTATTCGACGTGGCAGAAGGACCTTATCTCTCGCGGTGTTACAGTTCGCCTGTCGACTGAATTGGTGGAGATTGTCCAGCGCGGTAAGAAAGGGGTTATCGTTAAGCTGAAGCCGCGGACGCCAGCGCCCGATGGGCACAACCCGAACGGAGGAGACCCTGATGCCCCCACTGCTGAGGAGACATACGACGAGATTGTGCTCTGTTGTCTGGCTGATACGGCAAAGAAGGTCCTCGGCAAGACAGCAAGCTGGAAGGAGAAGCAAGTGCTCGGCTCTGCCAAGTTCAGCGACGACATCACCATCACCCACAACGATGCCGACTACATGAAGAAACACTACGAGAACTTCTACCGCGAGGACCTCGCCGTGGCCAAGACCAGCGGTGTCGACCAGCAGCCGCGCCTGGACTACGCCAAGACCAGCTTCCGCCCCATGTACTACATCAAGATGTACGACAAGGACAGGTCCAAGCTGGAGATGTGCTTCGACACCACAAACTACCAGTCGCAGTTCCCCGAGAACGTCCCCTTCGAGCAGCACGTGTTCCAGACCATCTACCTCAACAAGGACCGCGACGGCAAGCTCTGGTCCGACGGCGAGATCGACGAGCGCAAGATCATCCGCAAGGACTGGTGGCACCAGCTCTGCCACTCGTACACGCACTACATCCTCGTCATCCCGTGGATGATGTTCCTGCAGGCCAGGAACCACACGCGCTTCGCCGCGTCGTGGACGCTCGTCAACGCCCACGAGGTCGCCGTCATGTCCGGCATCGCGGCCGCCGTCGACCTCGGCGCCGAATACCCCGAGGACCTCGAGAACGACAAGTTCGCGTTCCTGTGCTTCAGGCTGTATTACCTGCTCGCCTACGGCAAGTGGTACCGGCGGCGGTTCACAAAGGGGAAGACGGCGCCGGCGACGCCGGCGGCCAAGGAGGGCGCGAGCTGGGCCAGCGGGCTCTACGGGTCTAGGTACAAAGGCCCCGGCGTGGTGGAGCAGGAGAGGTCTACCTGGAGGGAGGAGGTGAAGCAGGGCAACAGTACCGGGAATCTGGCTGATGGTAATGCTCCTGGGCGGAGTCAACCGTAGACGGGTCAAAGGGATGTGGTCAGGCTGCGAGACGTAGCTGTATGCTGAGCTATTCAAGGCACATTGGATATGTCTCACAGATCTAAGCTCCGCTTTTTCTCAACTGAAATCAGCAGATTGTCTCGATTGAATGGGAGGTAAAGCAGTTGAAGGGGTCTGCCTTTGTTACCTGGTCTCTGTTACCTGGATGCGATTGTCGAGTGTCATTACATTGTCAATGTTCGACTCGTTGGACTCAGTAACGAGGCACGACTTCACAACCCACAATGAGAAAAGGCACCGCTCAAGTACTCAGCCGCAATAGATATCCATGGATACATGTGTATAAATACACGGGCTTTTCTTACCGTGGCCACTGTCTCCCAACCGTCTCACGCATCCAAGCAGCTCTCGAAGCAATCATTCACAGACATTACCACCTCCTCAAACTTCGAAATGTCCAACAACCAGAGATCCGAAGCCCCGACCGGCAAGCAGCAGAAGCAGCATCACCGAGGCCGCCCGGCCAGCCGCCCAGGGCGCCCGCGCTTCCGCGTCGTCCGCGGCACGACCTACTCGGCGCACGAGCAGGCGGTCCTCGACGCCGGCTACCCCTGGGTGCGCACCAACGCCCTCGTCCCGACGTGGTCGTCGCCCGACAAGGACCCGCGCGGCGTTGCCGTCGCGGACCGGCTCAACTGGCACGGCCACCACGGCGTCAACACGCACCTCATCGTCGAGGGCGACCTCACCCTCATGAAGCTCAAGAAGATGTTCAACCAGAACCACGTCTCGGCCGTCACGGTGTCCAGCGAGCCGGGGGCCCTGAAGGAGCTGTCGGTCGCGCCCGGTGAGATGTATGCGGGCACGTCGCAGCAGGCCTGTCGGTTTGTTGAGGGGCATCGCTGTCTTAGTCCGGCGAGCGCACATCGGGTAAGCAGATGACTTTGGTTCTTTCTGTCCTTGGGGGTTTACCTCTTGGGATCCCATGCTTTGGGATCAGCTTTGTAGCTGTCATGATGATGAGCGTCCTCGGCATCTCTTTGTCTTTGCCGCCCTGTCCAGATGTCACGGCTTGCGAGGCTGACCGTGGCAAACACCTCACCATCCACCACATCATCCTCTCTTTCCGAGCTCTAAAACCTTTTCTTTCCTGAAACTCACCCTGAGGAACCAAAACTACAGTACATGACCCGAGGAACCCTGGAGTGGGTCGACAAGACCGGCAAGGCGGCCCGCAGGGCGGACAGGGAGTACGTGCTCCGCCAGCTCGCGGGCGCCGTGTTCGAGACCAAGTTCGACTTCGCCGTCATGCGGAGGGTGGCGACCTGCACGTTCGAGGACGACAACCAGGTCACCCGGGGCATGAGCCAGTGGTTCTCGCGCGAGTGGAACGACCCGGCCGTGCAGGCCGCCAAGGGCGATCTCCGGGCTGCGATCCACCCGCTGGACGCCGACGACCAGGAGGAGAAGAGGAAGAAGGGCAACGGCAGGGCTGCTGGTGGTTTCGACGGTGACGTGGATATGGACACGGACGATGCCGATGATGAGGACATTAGCGCGCGCTTGATCAAGGCTTTCAGCGAGTGGCTGCCGGGACATGTGGATGAGATTTGAGGTTGGCGCTGGCGGGGAGCGCTTGAGTTGTGAACTGAGAAGGGGCTGGATGGATGGGCAAGCACAACTCTTGAAATCTTCAAAGTTGGAATGGATGCTGTACAGACGGGGAGGTGAAACTGGTGCTCCGACCTTTTCAGAACGGCTCCAGATGAGCATGCTGGCGCTTGTGAGCCGGTTGATTTTACAAGTTCCGGTCAAGAAAATGGAAGACCTGCTGCATTCCTTCATGAGCAATGTGTGCATATCATAAAACTAAAAGCCTTGCATTAAACGTGAACCCCTTATTCAATAACATCCATTACAGAAGACCACGCCTGAGCCCCGAAACATAATCATAAACATGATAATCTCAACCCGTCAGTATCTGTCTCCACCCCACACTCCCATCATATAGGCACGAAAAGCTGCGCAACGAGCTTCCAGTCCCCACCAGCAAGCTGCCTCCACGTGCTGGTGCACCACGCCTCGACCTTGTCCATGTCCCCCGCGTCGAGGTCGGTGCTCCCGCTGTCGGTCTTGATGACGGTGACGCGGTAGATGATCTGCACGGCCATCATGTCGACCTCGGCGATGGCGGGCTCCGGGTCCTCCTTGTGGATCTTCCAGCTGATCAGCTGGCCCTTCTCGGCGAGCTTGTCGATGGCCTCGGTGAGTGTCGGCTCCGACTTCATGTGCAGCGGCTCCGACTTGCCGTCCGGGTGGATGAGCGGGTTGACCATGACGCAGTCGTACTCGATGTGCTCCTTTGCGTCCTTGGGCTCGTTGCAGAGCGTCCCTGCCAGCAGGTTCTCCATGTCCTTGGCTGCCTTGCGCACGCGCGAGGAGATGGACCCCGGGTGGACTGTGCCGGATTTGCTGACCATTTTTCTTTTTGGTGAGGGTGTTGCTGGGGTTGGTAGAGGTTTATATTGAAATATTGCTCAAGATAGGTAGGTAGTCTTGGTGAATGAATATTTATTATGCCACTTGATAAAAGCTGATAGCCGTGTTGTTGAGGATGGATGGATTTAGTTGGTAGGGGGCCCAAAACCCCGAGTATCCAGGCTGGAGGTCATGCAATCACTTACTTATAATTATAAGCATACGGGATTCCAGGCTTCTAAAATCTAGAGAAACAGGTAATGTGGTGGGAACACTCTGCGTTCGTAGACTTGTTCCAACAAAATACAGACTGACGTCAGTGGGTAATCATCAGTTCGCAAGATACTGCGTGCAGATCACCGCGAGGCCATGCAGGCGACAGACATCTGGTCCGGTACCCACTCTTCAAGCGCGAGCGATCTGATAAGGTGCCAGAGATCAAACAGCGGACAAAGTGAGACTCACCGAAGAACACCACTTGAAATTCGATGGTGCGAGCATGATCGGATTGTGTTACAGAGCTATCAATATTTGACGCGAGCCCGAAGGCTGCCGGTAGACCGAATTTGCGTACTGAATGATGTCAACCGCTGTGGGTGGAGGGGACCCACTGTGCTCAATTTAGAAATGGAGTTTACCGTCTTTGAGAACCTGGAACAGACTGTGATACAACAATGAACTGGTTACATCGAGTAAGCCCCATTTAAACTATCTTTTATTCTTCTCCATGATGCTGGGTGACCTGGAGTCTTCTAGCGGCGGCACCGACTTCAGAACATGGCTACTGCCCGCGAACCTGTGCCGGTGGAAGACATCACCGGTGAGATAGATCACACAAGCATTTTCTAACCTTGTTGGAAGCAGATCACAGATTCGCAGCCATAGCAACGGGAGATGGCACCCACATGAGGCTAACTACCTACATAGGTGGATGTAGCTAGCTACATGTGTAATAAAAGCTAGAGAAGACGTAGGACGACTTGGAGATATTCGTACTTAGGTTGTCGCTAAAATAGTTATCACATAGGAGGTTGTCATATAGGAGGTTGACATACAGAAGGTTATCCTTTAGGGCTTTGGTGCACCTTCTGTTTTTGTGTGTGCGAATCTCTGGCCTCCCAGTAAACGAATTACCTAGGTATCCAGGGATTAATATTCTCAATGATTGCTACTGCAGAACCTTGGAAATCAAACAGTTGACACCCTTGTAACGGGAGTTGAGTTGTATACCGTTGCGGGACTCCGAGGCAGCGGACAATGGCTGATTGGCTGATTGGCCGCTGATAAAAAAGGTCCAATAATTCTTCATCCTAAAAAGATGAAATAACATCCAAAGATGACAATTCTCGCAAACAACGGCAGCATTGGGAGCGATGCTTCCTACTCAGGTAGCTTTTTCTGTGCGGCACGAGGCTGAGGCCACTTTCCCAGTCTTCTTACACTATAGTCGGCATTATGTCATTCTTTTCCAAAAGAGGAGAAAACCGTTGGGTCTTTGAGCGTTTACCACGGTATGAAGGCACCGTTTATGGCTTCGGACGTATAGTACGGAATAGAAGCGAAACTAGTTAAGAAGAAACTACTGATGAGAGGACACATGTAGTACTAGAGCTGAAAACTTTGACTATGGCAAGAACTTCAGTTTGAAATCAAAGTGGACACTATTCAAACGTTGTTCTGTTGTGCTTAGGGGTAACTTGGTTGAGCCGTGTAAGAATTGCTCTTAGGGGGAGAAGTCCTTTAGTCACCAAGGGTCTTCTACGACGAATCATACCCCAACAAATCTATACCCAGGCATACTAAAGGCCTTCACCGTTACTTCCCCTGTGCTCTTTGAGGCGTCGTCACAGAACTCTTCAAATCGGTGGTGGGATTCTCTCTTGTATTACTATGGATGATAGGCATTACTATTATAATATTCTTCATTATTCGACATCCCCAACACAGTCGTCCTTTCGAACTTGACACTTAACACCTGCGAAAGAACTCCACCTTGTCTCTGCGGCAGATGTCCACGGCAGCATCCCGTATCGAGTAATCAATCAGCTTCCCTTTCCCAGGCTGCAAGGCCTGAGTAAAGTCGAAACCAGCCGGCACGCTGCTGAAGCCCCCAAAGGTCGATCGAACCATAACGTCGTTGAGGAGACCCTCCTCGTTAAAAGTGAAGTTGCCCCCGGGCGAGACTTCACCCGACACCGGGTTCGTCACCGACACGTACTCCTTCCAGGCGACATCCAAGCCGACGCCGAGCTGGTTGGCGATGGCCTTGACGGAGCACCTCGCGTTGGCGGGGTTGACGAGGAACCTGTTGGCGGCGTACATGGAGGCGATGAAACGCTGCAGGAGGGCGGACTTGGCCTTGTCGGAGAGGGACGACTCCCGGATCGTGAAGGCGGAGGAGGTGATGGGGGCGATGTAGTCTGAAACGCGCGCCAGAATATTCGGTGCTTGTCCTGCGGGCAGGGCCTGACTCTCGACTGTGAATGGGTAGTTCAAGATGGTTGCGTACACTGGGCTGCCATCGGGTAGGGTGCCATTGAGCAGGTCAGCGTACCGGGTGCTGGTGCCGCCGACGGTCTGAAGGGTGTATTGGTATTATTAGTCAGGGTTCCTTTGCGATGAGAGCAACTGAAGATCATGTGGACTGACTGTGAATGTGAAGTCCCCGTTGGCAAGCGTCATGCCAGCCTTCGCCAAGACATATTGCAACAGGAACGAATATCCACTCAATGGTGAATCGACGATGATGGACTTGCCCCTGAGCTGAGTTAGGTTTGTTATGGATGGTACCGAAGCGATCACAAGGTCTGGGCCCTGGTCCAGTTGTCCAAGGACCGTGATGCTTTGATTTTGGTTGAACCGATAGTTCAAGGCATTGTCGACGGTGGCAGTAAGGATGTCGTATTGCCCGTTCAGGATCGAGGTGAAAGCATCCGTGCTGCTAGCGACCTGATTGAAGGTGACGTTGAGACCATTGGCTGTGAAGAATCCAAGCTGATTCGCAACCGAATAAGTCGCGGTCGGAAGACTGGCACCTGTGTCAATACCCCGTATCATTCATTGCCTCTAGTCGCGGTGGAGGAACGGCCGCTCGGGGACATACAAAGCTCCGTACTGCACACTCTGCAGTGCAGCAACTGGGGTCGCGAGGACCAGAATCGGCGTAGCGGAAAGCCTCATGGTCGCAACCTTGGAACCGAAATGTGCCTCCGGGCAAAATAGTTGTTTTTACGAAAGACGAACTACTGGAATTTACCGGTGAGGAATGGGATTCTCTAGGAGACATCAACAGGTTTGGCCCAACGCCCCTTAAGAGCGCTATTCACTAGTACGTGCAGAACTCTGAGGCCGCGGCATCAAGTAGACAGGGGGCACAGGACGATGTCACCCAGTGCGGAGCCAGCCAGGTGCTCCTCTCCACCGACAGAACTAGTTGATTTCATAGAGATGTGTGTGTGTGTGTGTGTGGCAAACTAGACAGACTGCGCCAACTTGGCAAAGAGGTATTCGAACGCAGACTTGCGGCAGACAATAAAATGCCCGAAGTTGAACTGAGAGAACCTATTACTAGTATGACTTGAGCTGGTTGAGAACAACAGTCCCGAGGTCGTCTCCTCTCTCCACAAGATCCTCGACTGAGTCCTCCCCACTTATACAGCGTCCTTTCATTTTGAAGCTCTCTTTGGCCCGAACCAACCGACGGAAAAATCACGGATATGCTGGAAGGATTTCGGCCCCTGTTAAGCTTTCCTCGATCAGGATTTGTGGAAGAGCGCCACCACAGATTGAATTTTCCCTCCATGACTGCCATGTCAAATCGCTCTGAAGGCGATTTAATCGAAGGCCTCACCACCTTTCCTCTCGAAATAGTGTCTATTCTGATGATTGGCTCGTGCGCATCTGAAGCCAAGCACAGGAAGTGGGGGGAAGATCGTAGATCTCAGGTAACACAGAGGCTGAGAGGCACCACCAGTCTTGGCCCCCTAGGCCCCCCGCGGACATAGCCCACAGCGCGCCGCAGGGCGGGTCGGCCCCTGGTCCTTACCCCGGCCGCTAGAATGCTTAATCTCCAGGGATCGCAGATAGCCTTCGCCAACGGCCAACAACAGAGCTCTAGGCCCTCCCAGGAGGATGGTAGACCCGGGCCCTTGGGACTCGCTGCTTCCCAATCCGGGCAAGCGGATTCTTCGTCATGCCCGGTATCAAGGGCATTAAAACCATTAGTCGATGCTTATATATCGTCTCACAGCCCTCTTGTAGGGTCGCATTTGGCGTTGAGGTTCGTCTGAAGGGAGGGAGATGAGCGGTGGAAGAACCTCCGCGGGATACTAGGGCCACGTGTGGTTACTATGGGGGCATGGGGTGAGGGCTTTCCAACCCCCTGGGATACTTGCGAAAGGGGATTCGATCCCCTCAATCCAAGGAGCACTAATGGGGGCATCAAACCAAGGCCCAATAGCCGTTGAGGTCATCGATAGTGTACCAGTTTTCTCTACCGTTAATCACCTGCGGGCTTGCTGGTGGTGGCCAGGTGGTGACGACTGCAAACCACAAAGATGCTTCATGTACATTCAAAGGCTTGAAGATGCTGGGTCTCTGGTTTGAAAAGGTGCTTTAGTCCTCTTGGCACCACCTCCTTCAAGTCTCACCCGTCTCGGGAGATGTTCACGGGTCGTTCAAACTCTGTGAAGCATCATGGGTTGGCTTATAGTGAGCTCCCGAGGTCGCTCTGGTGTAGGCCCAGCAAGTTTCACTGTCTGCCGATGCAGGGGCTATCTGCAGCTTGCATGCGGTGGCTGATACATTTCGTCAAAATGCCCGTTTATGATGAACTCTGAAATGTGGCCCCTGTACTGGGGACCCGTAGGAGCCGTCGGGCCCCGAGATCCTCGAGAGACTAGGCTTTGAGAAACATATTAACCGCTGGGTCCCGCAACGGGATCGGGACGGCCCCGTTGATGATGCTAACTTAGGTCTTACTCCTTGATAGTCATGCCGCTCTTTTTCAGAATGAAGCGTGATGCCATCGACGACGGCGTCCCGAACCCACGTGGGCAGATCAATGCCATCCTTTCGATTGCGTTTGCCTGCATCTCGTTCGTCCTGGTCTTGCTTAGGCTTCTCGTAAGGTGTCTTGTCAATAAACTGGCTGGACCAGATGATTACCTGATCGTCGGCTCTCTGGTATGGTGCACTCAACTCTTCGCCGATTCACCGCACAGACGCTGACCAGATCTTTAGATATTGGCAATCAGCTTGGCGGTGACCTACAATAAAGGTACGTGTCTAAGTTCCATGACTATTTCATTTCCATGCCACCAACCCCGCTCTTTGCACACATCTGAGAGCCATCTAGAGGCAGACAATGGGTTCGGTCTTCACACCGATCAAGTCGACTACCCGCACAAAGTCGAAGCTTTTAAGGTAAGTCATCGTGATTGGCTCTCGAGTTAAATGCTTTGGAATAAGCTGACCCGTGTAGTGGTTCTTCGCCGCGCAAATCATATACAAGATTGCTACTTGTCTGACGAAATTGTCTATACTTTCCCTCTATCTTCGAATATTTCCCAACCGAAACTTCCGCATCTCAACATGGGTCACCGGTGGCATCGTCGTTGCATATACCTTGGCAGCTTGCCTTGTCACAGTCTTTTCATGCCACCCAATATCTAAAGCTTGGGACAAGAAGGCAGAGGGGAAGTGTGTAGACATAATCAAGGTTTGGTACTGTACGTTGGATCCATCCCCTCCTACTTCGGCCTAGTAGCTGACAGACTACCTTACCAGCCACGTCGATCATGATCATCATAACGGACGTGATGATCATTTTGCTTCCTCTGAATCAAATTCGACACCTCCAACTTCCACTCTCTCGAAAGATACTCCTTTCCGGGGTCTTCAGCCTCGGCATATTTGTCATCGTGTGTACCGTCGTCCGTATGTGCACGGTATCACCTACCACCACAGCTCGAGATCAAATATGTAAGTACTCGCAGCTGCTCGCCGCCGCCCTTCAGCCAGTATCTAATCGACGGGGACAGACTATCAAGCAACTTCCAACAGTTGGACTTTCCTTGAGGTAAACATTGGTATAATATGTGCTTGTGAGTCTCGAAGTTCCATTTTCTTGTTCCCCACAGTGACCGCGTTGAAACGTTCCTGCCCAAATGCTGGAGAGTGTTCTCGTCTCGTGCCTCCATGAGTTACACATTTCGACAGTACTGACCTCTACGGACAACTAGGTCTCCCTGTTCTCAGAGTACCCGTTAGAAAAATAATGTCTCCATTTAGGAGCAACAGGACAACTGTTACAGGAAGCCGAAGCCGTACACACGATCACCAACTGCGAACTATCGGCAATATGTCCTCCAGAGGGACAACGAGGAACATGAGGCACGACGATGACAGTTATGAAGAGCTTATCATCCAAGCTACTGGCTCGAAGAAGCTTGATGACTTCAATCATGTATAACAGCCTAAGAGCAAATATTGTACAATATGACTGAGGATTTCTTGTCTCGTAGGACAGAATTTATGATCTCTCTTATTGCAGCTAAGATCCATGGCTGTGTCTTGCAAGAATTCACATCTGCCTACAGAATTGCATGGTATTGTCAACCTGTGTCTAGAGCTAATAATATGGTTTGAGTGTTGTTTACTGACGCGGTGTTCTGGGTACGGCTAAAGTGAATTGTGTTGGGTGGAAATTGGCTGATGCTTTGGTAGAGGTTACTTCCATCTCCTACCACGTGTTCAGTCACTTCGGACCAATACAGACAAATATTTTGCTGGTCGTATCCGGCCTGATGGAGCATGGGCTTGAAGGATTCATTTGAGGGATTCGAGATGGCTTCCGAACGGTGCCTCTCCTGCATTACGGGATCGAATGAATGGAAACGACAAACAGCCCTTCCAACCCTGCCGCGACAGACTCACGCCCACCCCCGGCGAAGCAAGCCCCAACGATCTCATCGACCAAATCCCCACCCCCATACTTGCAGAGGAGCCCGACCCCAACTTGACTTCGACCTCCATACCCGACGTACATACGTAACGTCGACCTCCATAGCAGACAAGACATGACAAGCAATGACGAGACCGGTGACTCGGGCCCCATCAGGATAGAAATGGTCAGAATCCCCGTATTGCAGTATAGTCAGAAGAGAACTCACTGTGTGTGCTTTCCCCCAAATATGTGTCCGGAAATCCAGCGAACACGGCTCGAGACCAAACGAACCGACATCTTCCCGCTGATGCAGACAGTAGCCAACAGCCAGTGCCGTGATACCCTGAGACTTTCTCAAGCGCTTTGTTTCCTTCGATTCCCTCCCTTCGAACCCGTTCCTCCGAAGTCTTTCGCCTGAACATCTTTCCGCAATTCATCCCTTGGGATCCCTTGCTCCGAATGTCCTCCCGTGATTCATCCCATTAACTTCCCTGCCCTCGATTCCCTGCCTCCCTGCTTTCGATCCATTTCGGTGCCGTCCGATTCCTTTTGATCCCGTCTGTTCCCTCCCTCTCGAAAAATGACCCGATTGGAATCCGAACCGGATCCCCTCGTCCCGCCAGAATCTCCAAAATGAATCAAGGACGGCGCGAATGCGTGCCGGCTCCAAGGAAGGCGCCAAAGCCAGTGTAATAATCGAAAGACATGCCAATTGGTCTGTATTGAGCAACCACGGGTGTCTGTTGATTGCGGTTGGATGATATTCACGACGATTCCAAGGTGAGTAGGGGAAAAATAAAAGGTTGAAAAAAACCCCCAAGGTTGAGTCTTGTTGGAGAGTGCCAAGGAGAATTGTGGAAGTCTACGGGCTCTAAGGCGCGAGACGACCGGCCCCCCCAAAAAAAAAAAAGAAAAGAGAGAAAAAGGCCAAGGTTGAGTAGTGTTGGTAAGTGGCTGCCCAGGTGTGGTGCTAATCGAGTGTTGTTCGCGCAAACGAGTTTCATGATTGAGTGCTGAAGTCGGAACCGAGCGTTGTTCACGATCGAGTGTTATGGACGCTAGGGTTGTGTGTTGTTGATGAGCGTATGTTGTGGTAGACAAAGTCTTGGGTGTTTGAATTTGTTGATGTTTGTTGTGGACGACCGAGTTTGACGACTGAATTGTGTTCTTGATAAGGACGACTGAGTAGTGTTGTTCTTGTTGTTGACGATATTGTGTGTTGGGGACGACCGAGGACAGTTGGTGATTGAGTGCCGAGGTGGGAGGGTTTGTGTGACTGGGGTTTGTGTGACTGAGGACGAGGAGACCTAGAAGCCGAAGCAGATGTTTTGGTGTTGCTCTCTCATCTCGATTGGTTCCCCATTGCCCAGATGGGGTTAAGCCGGACCGCCGCGTTAAGGCTCGAGATATGGCCGGATTTCTTTTTCCTTTTTTATTTTTTTAGAGAGAGGCAACTAGGTCATCCTAATCCTCGTCCTTGTTATTGTTGTTGTCGTTGTCGTTGTCGTCGTCGTCGTCGTCGTCGTCATCATCGTCGTCGTGGTTGTCACCACCGACTTCGGCATTTACTGCCCAGTTTCTCAGCACCCAGGCCGGCAATTACGAGGGATCCCCCAACATGGAGCGTGCTGCGGATTACAATGAGGCGATTATCCCTGACACGGTCGTTGTGATCCAGAACATGTGAATCCCAGTCTCGTTGCTCCACGTTGCGCCCACCCTCTGGGCTCTGGTGCCTGTCTCCCACGCGAAAGGCATCATTCAAGCGATCAACATGGTCCGCAACCACGACAAGGACTGCCTGACCCACCACCTTCCCATCGGCTTCGTGCTCGTCGCGATCCTCCGAATGAACAATGACTGCCGGGCGTAGTGACGGTCGTGCCCGGCGCAGTGACGGTGGCCGTCACGGTGACAGGACCTGTAGGCGTATGGCCCCTCCTCCCATCCGCTGGTTTTTAAACAGTTGCCCAGGCAGTTGCCCAGGCCGAGGATCAGGCCCGCCAGGGCGAAGGTGAAGCCTACCGCCCACACGGTGTCTGGCGAGATAGGCATTTTAAGAGGGAGGAGTGAGGGATCGGATTATTTAGTGATTGACTATTCACTGATTCAAATGAATAAAAGAGACCCAAAAAGACGCGGGGCAAGGGAAAATAATAAAGGAGAAGGAAACCGAAGTTCTCACCAGTGCCAGTCAGCAAGGCCTGTTTACCCCCGCAGATGGCGGTGTTCAATGGCAGGTACGATCTGCTCGAAAGCGTGCTGCCCATCACACGCGGACTGCAGCAATTTGCCACGGGAAGTTCCATCTTGCAGTCACGATGGTCCAACCGCTTCTGCATCAACTTAGCTGTGGGCCGTTGTGGAGAATTGAAATTATTCTGCTGCCGGTATATATCAGAGAGTCTTGGAGGGATTTTAAGCAGATTGGATCTTGAGCGCTTACCACTGTGTGAAGGCGCCATGTATATCCTCGGGCGTATACGGAGTAGAAGCGAAACCACTTACTAGATCTTGCAACTAACCCTGCGCAATGCGAGCCCACATCATCGTATTTAATTCTATAGCAGTAACGGCTGTGGCAAAGCTACTCCCCGCCCAACCAGCAGACGGTCTAATCCCGTTATCCGAAAATCTTCTACTATCAACCGGCAGTGCTTATGCGAAAACAAGAGGGAAATGGACTCTGGCTGCCAGTGTAATTTGGGAAACTGTTATGAATGGTTCTATTGCTCAATGTTGCCAAGCTGTAGGTCATGTGGCATCCCCTACAAATGATGTTCATCTGATTGAGCCCCCGGATAATTCAATTGAGGTCCATGGCCAAGGGGACCATCGCACTCCAAGATGTCCAAGCATCCCGGGTACGAAAGTGAATATGAGTGACACTTTTGATTCACTTTGGGATGGATGCTAACCAGAAACTTCCAACGCATCCCTCCATTTACCAGGTACGAGCCAACTGACCCAAATAAAACCCAGCACCACGTAGCGCAAATCTGGAGACAAGACTGAACACCAACACCACACCTCCACGATGGCCAACAAGAAATACACAAGACTGCTTCTTAAATGGGTCAGAAACGCCTATAAGAAGCAAGACCCAAACCCCAGAGAGTCAAGCAACACCAAAGAGAAACACCAAGTGGCCGACTCCAGCCCCGACAAACAGCCCGACGACATCTCGCGCACGCCTGACACAAGCATGGGCATAACAATCGATCCATCCCGCCTCATACGCGGCATCAAGACACCATTCGATGATGGCACACAGGATCCATCTGACCAAACAATTGTCTCCTGCTCCTTCGACACGCCAGACACCACCCCGCTGCTGATCCCAAACCCCCTCGACTCACCCCCAGTGTCCATGGGGCTCTCCCACAGGGGCGAACATCCCCCTCAAAAAGATCCAAACCAAGCCCTCCTCCTCCGCAGCCAGCTTGCCCCATTCCGCGTGATCATAGTCGGCGGCGGCCCCACGGGCCTCATCATGGCGCACGCCCTCCACGAGGCAGGGATGGACTACACCCTCCTGGAGCAGGCCGCCCACATCGGCGCCCCCGACACCACCGCAGACCCAACCCAGCCAGACCACAACAACGGGACCAGCTTCCATCTCCTCTGGCCCGACTCGGCGCGCATCCTGGACCAGCTGGGCCTTTTGCGCCAAGTACAGCAGATCTCATGCCCCGTGCGGACCCGCAACACGGGCTCTGCCAGCACCCCTGGTGAGGACAGCGACGACGTCTTCGCCCGGTCGGAGCCCGACCACGGCCGCCCCTGCATGCTGGTCGACCGCATGGCGCTGCTGCGCGTGCTGCTTGCCAGCCTCCCCCCGGCCGAGCGAGCGGCGCGCGTGCGCATGGGGAAGCAGGTCGTCTCTGTCGAGACGGACGACGCCGGCGTGAGGGTCGCCTGCGAGGACGGGAGCGTCTACCGGGGCTCGGTGGTGGTCGGGTGCGACGGGGTGCACAGCGTCGTCCGGCGGAGGGTGTGTGAGCTGCGGGCCGAGGGGAAGAGGGAGGCGGCGAGGAGGAGGAGCTTTGGTCTTTTGGGAGGTGGCGGGCATGAGGCGGACTCGGCCATGGAGGCGCGGTACTACGGCCTGGTCGGGACGGGACCGCTGCTTGATGGGCTTGAGGCGGGTGTGTGCTATGAGACTCGGTGTGATGCCATCGGCGCGACAGTCCAGGTGCTTACGAGCGAGGACACGATGTAAGATACTTACCCTCCTCTCCCATTTATGCAACCATCTGCTGTGGTTTCGCCATATATCATGAGACCACAGCAGAGTCTTGTATTTCAGCCATGTACATAACATCTCGCATCTGCTAACTGATGAATGTGGCTACAGGCACTTCGTTGTCTACGTCCCGCTCCACAGACCGGTAACCAGGCAGACACACTACCCACCAGAGAACGCCAACCACCTCGCCAGCGTCGTGGCCAACCACCCAATCACAGAGAGAATCAGATTCAGCGACCTGTGGCAGTCACGGAACCACGGCAAGATGCTAGACTTCCACGAGGGCATCGCAGACAAGTGGTACCACGGGCGAATAGTCCTGGCCGGCTCCGCAGCACACAGCACGACGCCCGTCCTGGGCCTCGGGGCTAACGCGGGCATCCAGGGTGTGGTGCAGCTGGCCAACGGGCTGCGGCGGTTCCTTCCTCCTCACCATCACCATCATCAACGTCATAGCCATCATGGCCTGCCTGCTGGTCCAGACACCGCCAGGATCAAGAGGGTCTTCAGGGCATACCAGGCCGCGCGGGAGGACCACGCCCGCACGGCGGCGCTTATCTCGGCCTACTACGCGCGGGCGATCGCGCAGCAGGGCACGCTTTCCATTTTCTGTAACTGGGCTGCCCCGGGCGCCGCTGTGGACGTCAGGATGCTGGATGGGCAGGTGGCGTGGGCGGTCAGGCAGGGCATCACGCTGGAGTATTTGGAGGAGGAGCACTTCAGGGAGGGAAGGCTGAGGTGGGTCAACCCGTGCCGCTGGCCTGATGCTCCCACCAGGGAGCGGGCAGGTGCGAGTGCGAGTGTGTGGTTGTACCCGAGCATCCCGATGCGTGTCAGCACTGGGTGAGTTCTACCGGCTGGAGTGTTCTCCATGACTTCCAAAAGTTGGCACGGGCGGTCTTGACTTCGGGAGGAGGGGAGGCTCACGAGCAGGGTTGCCGTTCACTACACTCAGTATAGTCGGTGTAGTATAGTGCATGTAAATAAGGACACTACACCCTATCACACTAAGGATATTTTGAAGTCCACTATATCATACCAAAGAAGTCAGTATGTGTAGTGTAATGTACGGCAGCCCTCCCTCACGAGTATCCGGGACAGTAAGCTATGACGCGAGGTTGATGGAGTGGCAGCTTCTGTGTTGGACCAACTAGACATTGTCTATAAGGCCCTGTAATCGTCAGGAACGATGTTGTTCCTTGTGTTCCTTGGGAACGGGCAGGGACGCAGACATCCACCTGGTCATTCCGCTTCCCCGCGGCGTGCGCCCGAGCAAACTTCTTCTGTTTACCCACTCCCATCACAGCAGACTGGGTTTTTTGAGACGATCAGCAGGTCTTAGCAACGCAGCTCCATCCAACGTGACCAAGATACCGAACCCAAGGGCAACGATCGAGTGTGCGGTCAGTATCCCACTAAGCAGCAGCACATCTCCGTGGGCGACATCAGGTCCTCACCGTCACGGTCATAGGCCTCGTCTTGGCCTCCTGGAGCCCTGCTACCTTTCATTTCTTCTTTGCCAGATCACGTCACTGCAGCCGCATCCGTGCCCCAGTACGAGACTGGTCCTCGCTGACATCTCCGGCTCCCCTGCACCCACAGTGGCATCTATCCGCAGCTTTCACCAATCATCATACCCAACGGCTTGACAGCAAACATCAAATCCAAGATGAGCTCTCAACATCCTGAATGGTTCCTGACGGACGAGAAGGTCTGTCGCCAGTTTATCGGCAGCTGACACAAGCTGACCATTCCAGATGAGAGAAATAGCGGAGAAACACGCGATTTCGACCCCAATGGTCTTGTTATTGTTCCACTTTTACTTGACCAAAAACCCAGACAACGGACCTGGAAGCCGATCGAAAATGTCCCGCGCACAAATCCGGGTGATTATGCACCGCGAATTCCCAGACACGCCAGTGTCTGATGCCGTTCTGGGGTCTATTCACTATGCCTTCAAACTGCTCTTTCCCAACAGCAAGCTCCGAAATCCCGTATTCCACTTGTCTCCCCAGAGAAAAGCGATACTGGAAGAGTACGCAGGGCAGCAAGGCAGAGTCTTCCGATTTCAAGTTCAAACCAAGCAAAGGCTAGACCGAGTCCGGCAGGGGCTACATCGACTCAAAACTGACCATCATCACTTGATACGGTTTCTCAATCAAGCCCATGAGCTATCTGGTTCTTGGATTCAGCGCCTCCAGCAGGTGCAAGACGACGTGCAGCTACATATAGCCGAAGCTCAGGGCAATCAGCAAGGCTCCAGCGCTCAGGGCAATCAACAAGGCTCCAGCGCTCAGGGAGGGCAAATGCTTGGTGGCGTCGGCTCACACCCGCTTCCGGGACCTCAGGTAAGCTTGTTCCGCGAGAAAATGGGATCCCATGGAGGATCTTGACCTGGTTCCCGCGCCGCTGACACAACAAATCTACGGCTAGCAGCACATACCCAGTCCGCCGGCCCTCACCGACTCAATCATTTACCTGTCGATTACGTGTAGGCGACCTCAGGATCAGAAGCACTTGCCTCTGCCTCAATTACACGTGCAACAGATACAGTCTCTGCCTCAGCCTCCGCCTCAAGAATACATGGATCAGCCCCAGGGACTTCATCCGGATCCCCACACCCCTTCTTCCAGCGGGGGAGGGAGCCAGGTGTCGAACTGAACTGGCATCGGACACAATCCCCGCTCGGTTCTCTTTGCATTGTCGCTGGCCATCGCAAGTAGCAGGGGATTCTGAGGCATGGTGGCCGACCGGCCCCCGCCCTGGCAGAGAGAATTAGCGCATGGATCCTGCTGTTTCTGCTGCCGAGTCTCTAGCATTTTGGAATTCTTTTGGGTCTTTTCATCAGCGAAGTCTACGAGTAAAATACAGGAATAGATACAGCGTTTGTTTCTTTTGGTAGATTTGGAGTCTTCTAATCAGAGAACCTCGTCTAAGAGACCACCCTGCATCGTATGAGAGACCCTCCTGCAAGATACCCGACAACCCCCTACAGGGCAGCCTTCCATTGGGCATCCTTCCATGAGATACCTTTCTACGAGAGACCTGGCACCCTCTCTAGGGCACTCTCCCATACTTAAGTAGGGCATCTTCCCATAGGGCATCCTTCCAGGAGATGACCTCCTATAATTTGCTCTCCTGTGAGATACTCTCCTATAAGATGCCCTCCTACAGAATGCCCTCTTATAGGACATCCTCTTTGAGGATAATTCACTAGAGGTGGGTTTATTTATAGGCAGCCTGTTATGATATTTAACTACTTTATGGAGACGCTGGAGACGTGGTGATGTCACGGTAATATGGTCAACTTATCTGATGCAAGTGGCCGAAAGGAGCCGTGGCGTGGGTGGATGCAGGTTGACTCGCTGACTAACGCGTTTGGGACAGTTTATGTACTTGTGGATGATGACTTGTAGCCAGATAATCCTTCTCAACTTTGAAAATTTAGTCTCGTCGGACCGAAGAAAAAGATCATAAAAACATGGCGGAATCATGTTCGTCCGCACAGCCGCCGCTGCGAATCGGCACGCGGAGGTCAAACCTGGCCGTGGTCCAGGCCGAGAGCATCCGCGACAGCCTGCAGAAAATTGCACCGGGCCGGAGCTTCGAGATAGAGGCGCTGCGCACCCTCGGCGACAAGGACCAGTCGACCGCCCTGTACAACTTCGGGGCAAAGAGCCTGTGGACGACCGAGCTGGAGGAGAAGCTCACGTCCGGGCAGCTTGACGTGATTGTGCACTGCCTCAAAGGTATGTGCCCAGGCACTTTGGGCAGACCTTGGACCTGTGAACCGACCTCATAATTAACCCGCGAGGACAGACATGCCCACCACCCTGCCGGAGACGTGCGAGCTGGCCGCTATCCCGGCGCGGGACGACCCCCGCGACGCCCTCATCGTCAAGGCGGGCCTGCCCTACGACAGCCTCAGGGCCCTGCCGCACGGCGCCGTGGTCGGCACGTCGTCGGTGCGGCGGTCCGCGCAGCTCAGGCGCCTGCACCCGCACCTGCGCTTCGCCAACCTGCGCGGCAACGTCGAGACGCGCCTGGCCAAGGTCGACGACCCGGAGGGCGAGTACGCGTGCATGATCATGTCGGCGGCGGGGCTCGAGCGCGTCGGGCTCGGGCACCGCATCACGCAGCGCCTGGGGTCCTCGGACGGCGGGATCCTGCACGCCGTCGGGCAGGGCGCGCTGGGGCTCGAGATCCGGAGGGGGGACGCGGCGGTGTCGGGGCTGCTGGCCGGGCTGGCTGATGAGGCGTCTACCCTTGCGTGCCTTGCGGAGCGGGCGCTGATGCGCACGCTTGAGGGGGGCTGTAGTGTCCCGATCGGTGTTGAGACGGAATGGGTGGGCCGGCCGCAGGATTCTGTCCTGAGAATGAGGGCGATCGTCGTGAGCCTTGATGGTACCCGGAGTGTGGAAGATGCTATAGACGCGGCGGTTCGGACGCGGGACGAGGCGGAGGCGTTCGGCAGACGGTTGGCCGCGAAGCTTGTGGAGGCTGGGGCTGATGGGATTCTGAAGGAGATCAACACCAACAGACCATCTAAGGACTAACAACACTGATGTGTTGATGACCAGTAGAGACCTAGATCTTAACAGCTTAGAATTATTTCTCAAACACCGAGGGTCGACAAATCTCACGCATTAGACAAGGATACAGTAGTCCATGATGATCGATTTCATCTTTGCCGTTGCCTGAAATTTCTCTGAAGTGTTTAAGTGGTTTCGTTCTTATTTCGTATGCGTCCGAAGCTGGAACTACATGCCGCCTTCACATAGTGGCAAACACCTGAGCAGCCCGTGCCTAGGTAAACACCTAGTACTAGTAGTATATTAGTGAATGAACTCATTGAGTGGCAACTGTTTAAGAATGACGATACCAGTAGCATCTCACCGAGAAAAGCATCAAGAATCATCACTACGCAGAGTGAGCTGAAGGTCTCACCATTTGCGCATCGGGTCCGTCACTTGGGCAGTCAACTTTGTCATATGATAAAGAATCACATGTGTTTGGAGCCAAGAACTACCAGTGAATAGGAGGACGGTTGTGTCGTTTTGTATGAGGGAGGATAGCGAACAAGGCCATCACTCGATGTTGCATTTCACCACAGTCTCGACCTATCTCGAGTCACTGGAAGTCATGAGCCACCACGGATCAAACACTTTGCAATGTCATCACCACAAGTGAATCTATTCCCACTTCAATGTGGGCGTTACCTCCATGTCCGATTATAAAATTCGACGTCGCTGCCAAACAATCCAGACACGACATGGACTCTCGCTAACCGCAATGTACTGGATCAACCAATAATTCCAAAGAAAAGGCTTACACCCTGATGACGGCCTCGAACAGGCTCACCATCCTGCGATCATGTGTGTCATGAAGTAAGTGGTAAATCAGGACTGGCTTCTTCTACGTTCGTTGTAGCGAAGAGTATGCCCCAGAATCAAATTTGACTAACTGCGAACACACGACAGATACCCGGCACATCGCGGCTGCAAGCATCCCGACAAGATCACCTTCGTAGGCCGCAACTGGACCGAGCTAATCGAAATCGAACTCTGCCGCGATGCCGAGCTCGCCAGCAGACACGAGCTGGGGAGGGGTGGAAGAGTAAGGTGCGAGGACCCGGGCTGGCAGGCGGAGGTCGACCCCGACATCGACGTCTGGTGCGTCGACTGTGAGAACGAGGACGACTACGAGTGGTCCGCCGAAAACATGTGCGGACGGTTCGCGAACGAGCTCGAGAACTGGCGGGCTCAGGGCATCCTGGACGAGCAGGAGTTGGGCGCGGTCCGGCGCGACATCGACCGCGCGCTCCGCAGGCACCGGGACGAGGCCAACGGGCCGCGGGGGCCGTACAACAACTCGTACTACGTGCTCCAGGAAGCGCTGGAGACGTTCATGGCGTACTGGGACCAGTACATCACGGACAAGAGGGCGCGGATGGAGGAGGAGGAGGCGTGGAGGCTGGCCCGCGTGGGAAACCGCGTGGACGAGGCCCTCGAGACGTCCGTGTTCCCTCCCGGCTATCTCGCCCAGGCGGAGGAGGCTCGGGCCCGGGACGAGTCGCGTCAATTCACGCGCCGTCGCAGGCCCGGCAGGCTGGCACAGTTCTTCGGTGGAGGGAGGAGCTCGAAGAGGTAAGGGCTGGAGACTGTCTGCCGGGTCAGAGACCTGTTGGAGGGTGGCCAGCTAAACGTCTTGATATTGTGGACACTTTTGTCTGCTACGGCGGGATGGACATGTTTTTGTTGAATTGTTTTGCGGTGGATTACAGTGTCATGCTCAAGTGGCTTAATCACACCGCGATAGTTACTGCACAATAGGGGTGCCAGATGATTTCAGACTTTTCATCACCTCAAAAGCCAATACACCCAATTTGTAACTTAGCAACGCAACATATATCCAGAGCCCTCTCAATTAAGGTGGAGAATTTAGTCATTATTGACCCGTGAGAGCAGGACAGAAGCAAGGCTGACTACCAAGGTGTGTACAAGATGAGATGAACCTTGGCACATGCGGGCGATGCAAATAACCAGCCACCTGGACAGCTATGGCCTATGTAGGTCACGGGTCCCCAAGAATTCGCACCCGCCGCCTTCAATGTTGTGATTACGCATTTGGCTATTCGTCTGCTTGTCTGAGTATATGGAAGTGTGACGATAAATTCCAGCCAGTCTGTCGCACTATGTGGCCCAGATCCCGTGTTGAATTGAATCGACTTTACCACTTACTTAGGTAGCATCTCAAACACATGCCATCTACGTATTTGGGAATATATCTACTTCCACCACACCGTCAATGGCGCCCCTACTGAAGCCCATTCTCCCGGGAGCGAGAAGGACGTCAAGTTTGACACCCGCCAGACAAGCGCTCCGGCGCCATCCTACGCAGATATTATTAGCCCATCACTTCAGGTTGAGCCGCCTGCTCGAGATCCACCCGCGGCAGACCAAGCGGCGTTGACGGAGCAAGGACGGAGCCACAAAAACCGGACAGGGCCCAAAAATGTGTATGGCCCAAAAGCAAGAGCCGGATGGAGTATTCGAGACAGGACCAACCCAAACACTCGCAATTTGCATATGCAGAGCGGAGTGCGTACGTACGTAGCACGCGCGCACACACAGTCGTCACACAAAGATTCGAGGGGCAACGGTGGTCTCAGATCTCGGGGCTGGAACGCGGTGCACATTCTGCAGCACAATACGGCGCTGCTCCTGTACTGTGAAAAAAGACACGAAAAAAAACCCACACCCCTTCTTTCATCTTGAGCTTGGTACGGTAGCATGAAATCAGGAGCCCCGGGCCAAATCAACAAGCTACGTATGTATGGAATTAACGAGTCTCTCTCTCTCTGTCTTTCTCTTGTCTGACATTGGGTGGTTGGGGGGGGGGGGTAATATAGGAATATGGTTGATATGGCAACGACGTGTACTGGAATAAACTGATGGGGTTTTGCGCGATTTGGCTAATAAATGCGATTAGAGCCTCTTAGAGCTGGGTTGGGCTGTGGGTAGGGTGATGAATGAGTGTTTACTGTCTTGTTAGCTGGTTGGTCACTTTTCTGCTACTGCTGCTGCATTGGCACTATACTATACTAGCATAGCACTACATAGTACCACACTTAGCACTACTTACTCCCCTTTACCTCTTCTTTTTATAATTAACCACGAAGCATGATGTATCGCATTGACTAGACGGCACACGCTATCCTCGGAGCTGCCCACCAGCATATTTGGTACCTAGGTAGCTTCCCTGCGCCCCCAACACCAAGCCTCACTCCGGCTTGGGTACCGCCCCAGACGCTATAGCTTGGGCAATGTCCCGGGTAGTGGCACTGTCGACGAACTCGACAATCTCCTTGATCTTGGACCCGTCATCCGTCATCTTGAGCACGATCATATACTCGTTGGCATAGGGGCCATAGTCTGTCTCGCCGGTTGACTTGAGGTGCAGCAAGACCTGGCGTAATGTGTCGTCGACGAGCATGTCCTCCCCCTCAACGAGGCTGATCTTGACGTCCCGCACCTTTTTGAAACCGGGGATGATAAAGTCCTGGTACTCCTTGTTGCTCCATGGCGAGGTGTACCATGATGATGGGACGGTAGAGGGGCGGACGATTTGTTTGCAGTCTGGTGTGCGAGCGGCTATCACTCCGTCTGGGGAATTGGTGTTGAAGCCTTCTATGTAGCTGGTGGCTGTTTTGATGAGGGTGTAACGAATTGAAGACATCTTGTTGTGGAGCTCGCAACTTGCAGTGGGATTGGGTGTACGTCAGGCTTGAAAGAAGAGACCGCGCTCGATGACTGGACTGAGCAAAATCGAGCGTTGGTGGAGAGGAAACCGTTGAATGTATTTATTTGTGAGAAGCACGGGGCGTGTCGCCATTCATGGATCACTGCTTGAATACGCCGCAGACCTACAGAAAGTGGCACGACGCACAGTGCTATCGGATGCTTCGGGTTGGTGCCTGTGTCTTATGCAAGGTACTTAAGCAAGATACATGTGATACATCGTCGCACATCCTGCAGACGCTAGCACATACCTGCCTACCTAGGTACCTACCTACCTAGGTACTCAATTGCTTGGCTTGATCCGTTGTGGCGGGACCTTGCTCTGTCGCAGCTCGGCATTCTCTGTCATCTTTTCAATCTGCAACGAGCAAGTTAGACCACATTGGGTCCCTTCCTATTCAGCGTCTCCTGCATTTATCATTCTGTTCTGTCATTCTCAGATCTTGAAATGGCATTGGAAGGTCAAAGACGAGCCGAAAGTCCGCCGGACGACCGCGACTTCTTTCCATATCATCGTGATGAAGCCACGTTTGAGGACTTGGACAACTACAAACGTTACGGCCTGCATCCTATCATACCGGGAGACAGCCTACCCAAGCCATCGACATGCGTCAGCCATCCACAGAAAAAACCAAGATATACAATCATAGTCAAAATCGGATTCGGCGCGTTCTCGACGGTGTGGCTTGCACAAGATGCTGATACTAGGTGAGCGGCTTGGATTCTTGGAGGATGAGACCCATTGCAACCCCATCAAACCCGGCACAAAGGAAGCAACCATTTTTTGAACCCTTTGGCTTATTATATTCACTACATATAGGCAATTTTTTGCGGTGAAAGTGGGGCAAGGAAAGGCCGATGCTGATCTGAGCACTGAAGCTCGGATTTTGCAGCATATTCGCCAAAGTACGGGCCGTGGTCGGGAGCACATTATCCACCTCTATGATCTTTTCACTATAAAAGGGCCCAACGGATACCACGAATGCTTTGCAACAGAGGTTGTGGTACCTCTTTCATCAATCAACATGGAGTTTTCGAAGAAATTCACCCCAAATCGCCTGAACAGGCAGATCGCCCTCGGATTTGACCATCTCCATAGTCAAAAGATCGCGCATGGAGGTGAGCGCACGGTACACATGTGCCTGTTTAGCTTTTTGCTAACGGAATATTTCCTGGTCTAGATCCGCACTATGGAAATGTAGGCATTGCAGTGCCTCAGATCAACCAGTTCAATGGGTTTGATCTTATGGATCATATTGGAGGAGAGCTGGAGATGTCACCGGTCATACCAGTCAACGCATCATACCCTATGGAAACCGTCCCTGCTTATATGGTAGGATCAGTATCAATTTTCGACTTCCTGCGTGCTCAGAATGCTTTCCCTACCTATGACCAACAAGACATCAGAATTCTTGACTTTGGTAGAGGTGAGCCTTGACTCGAAGAAGACGAGTTATTAAGCAACGGTGTGAGTATGAAATACATACTACTAATAACCATTTCCTAGCTTTCTGGGTTGATACTCCCCGTCCTCTCAAAGGCGCATGTCCCATGGCGTTCCGAGCTCCTGAGGCTGCCATGTTTGGGCCTGATATGTCGAATGGGGAGATAGGGTGTGCCTGGAGCCAGCCGTCAGATATTTGGGCGATCGGATGTCTGGTAAGTCAACTCAAGGCATTGCACTCAGATTTCGAGTGGTATATCCAAGTCTTTACTAAACTACTTGTTCCACAAGTTCTTTCGAATTGAAACGGAGTTTCCCCTCTTTTATCCCAGATGGTCGGCCAAGGAACACATTATTGGCCACACAGATCTCAGCGGGCCGGTCCCACTAGAATGGCGCAAGTACTGGCCCCAGTCAGCTGATTCACGAGGTAAATGATACACGTCTATTCATGTGCCCCCAACATCAAGACAACTGTACTGAGACACAAAAACGCTAATTTCAATAATATGGTCTGCAGCGCCCCCTACGGAACTTGACCCCCGGAAAATTGAGGAGGCATGGCGGTTGCGCCTACCAACAAATAGCACCTTGCGTTCGCTGCTGATGCGCATGATCAACACCAAGCCGGAAGACCGACCTTCTATACGCGAAATTCTGAGAGACCCTTATTTCGGCCATAATCAAAGTAGTAATGACACCTACGATTCTTGCGGCGATCAGGAAGCCGACGAGGTTGATAGAACTATCGGAGAATAGAAGCGCTAGGTTGTCATAGAAATCAGGGAGAATGGTCGCATCTCAGAAGCTGAAAGCAGGTCGGTGAGGTTGTGTGGAATATCGAATTAGTAGAACTCGGCCGGCTTGATGCTGGGGATTGTAGTAGATTCCGCATAGATGCTGCTGTCTAGCAATAGAAGAACACATGCGACGATCGAGGTAGAGGCATTTGAGTCATTTTGACAAATGGAATACTGAAAAATCTCCAAATCATGCATCTGACTGCAAGTGGCCACCAGAATAATGAGCTAGGTTTAACCAGTCCTCTTCACTGTGTGGCATGGCATCACGACTCGTTCGATTGGGTAGTCATGGTCCATTTGAGCATCGTTTTGGTTACGATGAAGCTCCTGGATAAGATTTGAAAAGAGTTTGGTGGCTCGCGTGAATTATTTAAGATTTTCTTCATCCCACATCGTGTTACTTGCCACGTCTGCCTGGCTCAAGTGCCTATCAAGTACCTAGGTAAGTTGCAAGAAGGAAGGGCAGTCAGTAATCCTTTTGGAGCCTCGGTGATAATTAAAAAAGACTGGGTCAGACGTCCTTAGCTATACTAGAGGGAATACTAAGGTGTGTGACCAATGGGACTGGCGTCCGAAGCAAGATTCGAAAGACGATCAACGGCGCCGTTTGCAACCCAGCTCAGGCTGCCTCTAGACAGTAACAAGCGAGTCCCCAAACGCCTCGCGACCCTTCATCCCATCACCCCAGTGACTCGTTCACTGCCACACCCTCACTCTAGCCAAATAATTATGAACTTCCATCACAGGCCAGCAACCAGGGCAGACTCGGATGGCCGAGTGGTCGGGCACCCACCGCAAAGCCATCTCCCTTACGCCAATCCCGATAGCCACGAGTTCAACTTCCCCATCAATCAACTTGGGGCGCAACAGAAAGGCTCCTCCCCTAGTACTTGCTGTGCTTATAGGGTGCAACCATAGTGTGGCCGACAACAAGAGACGTAGGCCCATTCGACACCGGGGGCCGAACTCTTTTGCCCTTTCGCCAAAGTCCAATCTCCTAGGCAGTTCATAACGCGCTGGTATATCAAGGAATTTATATGTGACAAGTAGGCCAACGTCGACGCCATATTATTCTACTACTGTGGCTGGATCATTCTCGCATGGTTCAGCTACTCCCTAATACTTGCGTTCTATCGTATCCATTTACACCCACTGGCCAGATTTCCCGGTCCAAAGCTCAAGAAGGCGTTGTGTTAATTGCGTGCCATGACCTCACTCATGGGGCGGCCCACCGCTGACATGGAAGTTAGGTTCAGACACATCAGACATTACAATGATTAGGTATATCAAGTGCCAGCATTACAGGAAGTCAAGTGGTTCATCACCTCTGACCAATGACAATGACAGACCTTCCACCCACCCACTACCTACCAGGGGGAGGGGGGGTCCCTAATATAAGTATATAATTATATTAAAAATTAATATTTAAATAGAATTTAGACATTATAATTAAATATTAATAGAAAGTTAATAAAATGCTATTATAAGTGAAATTTATTAAGGGGTTAATATTCTATTAAGTTATAATATTATATTAATATATATAAAGAATTTTTAAAATTTTTAAATCTATTAATATTAGATTTTATAAGTTAGTTTAATGAATTAAAATTTATATTTCTATATTTCTATAGCTTTTAATATATTATATATAGTTAAGCTTAATAATAGTTAATAGGTAGTTAGGTTAGAGATAAGTTAAAAAAAGAAGAAAAAAACTTAATTTTAATAGGAATTAAACCCCTTTTTTTACCTATATATTAAGCCTCTAATAGTATATTAAAGCTTAATAGTATATTAAATTAAAAAGCGTTATACGATTTATATAAGACGAAATAATTTTAGTATTATAAAATACTTATAAAAGCCTTTTAATAGTATGTAGGTATTATGTTTTGCTTATGTTAGAAAACCCCCCTCCCCCTGGTAGGTAGCAAGGATGAAAACCAAAACAACCGCGGGCCCCCACCGCCTACACCATGACTTATTCTAGAGCTTACTAGCTTGTTGCACAATTGTTACCGCGTTGGCAAAGGACAGCTCGTCCATTGTCTCCTTCCACAGCCGGGCAGAAATCTTTGCGCCCTCATCCGTATAGACGATGGGAGGCATCCTAAGGGAAAGCGGGTATACTTTTAGCGTGGGGGCCCAAAAGGGGACCAGGCAGGACCTGATCAAGGGGGGTGATGCCCAGGTCAAGGTTCAGTAATAAGTCACTTACGGCACGATCTTCCCGAAGGACAGGAACTGCCCGTGGGCGTCCTCGCCGTGGTTGACAGCGGCGTCGGTCATGAGGCGGGCGCCGACGGCGGAGGAGTTGCCGACACGGCGGAGGATGGCCTTTACGACGGCGCCGGGCGGGGTCCCGTCGATGTCACGGTTGAACTGGGAGTCGTGTATGGCGCCCGGGGAGGCCGCGTCGATGACGGCCACGGAGGGGGGCACGGCCTTGGCGAGAGCGCGGACAAAGAAGTGGCCCAGCAGCTTGGACACGAACATGCGGTCGTTTGTGTTGTCGGCGAGCTGGCCGGGGGCGTCGAGGGCGGGCAGGATGGGCACGTCCTCGGCGAGGGGGAAGCGGGCCCAGCAGGCGACCTCGGACAGGGTGAGGGTGATGCGGGTGGGCTGGGGCTGGCTGGGGCGCACGCGGCTCGCGATGGGGAGCAGCAGGACGGCCAGCAGGGCCGTGGAGATGTAGTTGACCTGGATGATCTCGTCGTGGCCGGTGGCCGGGTTGACGGCGCGCTTGGCCGGGCAGATGCCGGCGTTGAGGATGGCGATGTCGAGGCGGGCCAGGGTCTTGGCGGCGCGGTCGGCAAAGGCCACGACCGAGTCGTACGAGGACAGGTCGAGCTTCCAGACCTCGACCGTGTCCTTTTCCTTGCCCTTGAGGCCGGCCAGGAGGCCCTCGGCGGCGGCCCTCCCCTTCTCTTCATCGCGCACGGCCAGGATCAGCTTGCTGACGCCCAGCTCGAGCAGCTGGCGGCTCGTCTCGAGCCCGACGCCGCTGTTGGACCCGGTCACCAGGGCGGTCCTGCCGCTGAGGTCGACATGTTTGACGGGCTGGGGCCTGGCCGTGAGCTGGTGATACAAGTAGCGAGGGAAGCTCGCCTGCTTCTCCGGGGTCACGTCAAACTTGGGGTCCTGGTCCGCCATGGTTCCAGACGTGCCGTGTCGGGTCGTTGGCGCTAGATCAGATGCAGATGAGGGAGGCACACAAGTCGTGACTTGGGAGCGAAGACTTCCAACTTCCGACTTCTTACTTCCAACTTCCAAGGTGTGCCAAGTTGGGAGAGGAAATGGCGGACGAAGGAAGGCAGGCTTGCGCAGGAGGCGGCCTAGAGAGCAATCAGTTGGTGGATTGGGACTCGAGACCTGGCGACATGGAAGCATGTAATGTTATACTCTCACATCTTATAATCCGTATGGTTGGTTGGTTGCTGGGCCCCTGCCGGAACAACGACCAACGGACCGTCACATCGCCATCTGCTACTGCTACTAGTACTGCTACTATAGATATACGGAGTATGGTGTGGGATGGAGGGCAGGGTCCCTGTCCGGAGTGCGTGGGGCTGGTGGGGCAACCAACACCGACAAGGAAGAATCACCAACGGGGCTTGATACTGCACATGTGTGTTACTGATATCAACCCCGTGGGCTTGTTATTTTCCAACGTTGCTTCCTGGCTCGAGCTTACAGCACTATATACTGTCTAACAAAACCCACGACGGGAGTGGCTACCCGGGTAGCTAGGTTAGGGCACGTCGGGGGGATCCTACTGACGGCTGCAGCCCTATCCCTTCCTTGATACACGCCCGAGGCACAATGAAAGTCCAGTGTCCATGGATCCGGGCGGTGACTGCACCAACCCTGGAGATTGGCGGTCATCTAATCCGTACACCGTATCGAGCACCAACAAGCACTTGCAGGCCTCTAGCTTGCTGGGGAGGAAGCAGGTGTGTAATGATGTACGTAGACAAAGTGCGTGCTGTGTATAAAGTAAGACGAGAAATCTGCCAGGGTCCACGAGCACTCGAGACGAGTTAGTCCAGATAACGATCGGTAGAGTTGAATTCTTTCTTGTCCTGCCGGAAGTCGAGGTTGTCAGCCTGCTCACTTTATAATAAACTCTATCGTCTTCACAAAGCACGGGCAGATCCACGATACCCGCTCGTTGTAGTCAGACCACAGGTCTACAGAGGCAACAACTTTCTTGCTCAAGCACCTGCTCCCAACATGGCCATAGACACGGCTTCGGGATCGGCGTCAGTATGCAGGCGCCAAAACGACACCACCGCGGGAAGTATCAAGACGGACACAGATGATAGTGACAGACTACTGGCCCAGCAATATAAATTTTGAGGAGAAGAAATAAGCATTGATATAGTATAAAAGAAAAATATAATATAATCTCACTTACAGCTATAATAAGTTAGAATAAAGTCCTTTAATTAGTTAAGGGACTAATTAGTTAGAAATAGGTGTCTAGCTTCTGATTTCGGGTGTATGAATTTCCTCCCTCTACCTAGATACTTGAGTGGTCTCCGATCATGTCCCTCGGCCATTGACTGCTTCAGCTATCGAAAATTGGCAAACACAGCTCTGCCACTTCTATAACTAGGTACAGTGCATAGCGAGAGCTCATCTTTATTTCTGTGCGTGCAGACAATTGTCTGAGACGTTCCAGATATCCACTGCCAGTGTCTACCAGCGGGATGCGGAAATGGCAGACTTCAAATTCACACTCCAAGGGTCATTGTTAGAGCATGCTCAAGGGTCCTCCTCCTACCTGCCAGTCGTGGCAGTCACAGTTGTAGCCCTCGCAGTCACCTATCCTTTTGTCAAGGACCTTTACCCGCAGCCGATCCCTGGGATCCCATACAACAAGGCCTCCACAAAGACCATTCTGGGCGACGTGCCCGACGTTGGGGAGCACGCGAAGAAGAGCCAGAGCTTCCGGACCTGGTTCCTGGGCCAGGCACACAGGCACGACTCGGCCACCACGCAGGTGTTCCTGGGGCCCCCTTCCAAGGCGGCGGTGATCGTGTCCGACTACCGCGAGGCTAACGGCATCCTGAGCCACCGCGATGGCGTCGACTTCAAGCGCGGCCCGGGGCTCAAGGTCGATGCCTTGCGCGGCATCCTCCCGCACGCCTTGCCGGCCACGGAGACCTCCAACCCGGACCCCCACAGCAGCCGGGACCTGGCCAGGGACCTGATGACAATATCATTCATTCCCGCACACGGCCGGCGGCCCTCGCATCTACGACGCCGCCTGTCCCTCGCTGGAGCTGTGGCGTACGAGGCCACTCGCGCATGGCCGAGGGCCGCCCCCTGACGTGGCAGACGGCATTAGCGACTTTTTGCTTGGCGACATCCTCGGCGCTGCCCTGGGCCTGCGGCCGGATAGAGGTAACATCCAGCATGAGAGTGGTATAAAACCGGACGGAAAGGCTAACTAAAGTACCTATACTTAATAAGCTATTATATAAAGCTTTTATTTTTTAATATTATTATAATAAGTTTATATTATTTTTATTATATTAAATATAATATTTATTTATTTATTTTAATTTATATTTTATAAATATTTTATTTTAAAATAATTTAAATAGATTTTTAATATTTTTAAATTTTAAATCTTTATTAAATAAATCTATTAAATTTAAAATCTATACTTATTTATATATATTTTTTAGAATTTAAATTTAATCTTTTATTAAAGCTTTTAAAACTTCTATAAAAATTATAATTTATTTAAATTTTATTTTAAACTTTATTAATAAAGTATTATAAATAAAACTTTATATATATATAAATTAAATATTATACTTATTATATTAACTTTAATTAATAAATTAAATATTTTAAAAAATAAATTACTTATTAATTAATTAAAATATAGTATAAATAATAAAATAATTATTAATATATTAATATTATAGAGTATTAATAAAACTTCTCTCTCTAATAAAGAGTATAAGTTATTATCTCTATCCTTAAGGTCTTTCGCAATGCTTAACCCTAAGTCTACTTGCACGGCCGAGCTAGTAAATCTCTGCACTATATGCAACTCCTTCTTGACATATTCAAACTTCCACAGGCACAAGCGTAAGAAGCACAATGAGGGCTGGTTCCCCTGCAATAGGTGTGGAGAGACCTATTCTAGGGCAAACTATGGGAAGATCCACAAGTGCCGTGAGAAGCTAGTGAATGCCAGAGTCAGGGCCATTGGACCGAAGATGTCTTGAGTTTTCAGACCACGTGGGAGCACGCGTGTAACAGCAGTGGCTGATTGGTTCGGCAGGTTTACGAATGAACTGAACTCTGGCAAGAGGAGACGGGAAGCAGAGCTTATGTGTCCCCGGATGTATGCGGAATAGAAGCGAAACCAGGCAATGTGGAGTCGTCTTCCACGACAGAAGTCTCGGTTCCGATGACGGGTCATATTTTCATTGCTTTTGGGGCTTAGGGGGTCTGATTGAACCTTTACAGAGTGAAATGGCTCTTCGCGGTCCTCGGACATCATTAATCTCAGCAAAGGATATAACAACCACGGCATTCCCTCTCAAATGTGGGCACTTCAATGAAGCTGAATAAACCGATTAGAATCCGGTAGAGACATCAAACACTAACAGCCCTGAGAGTTACACCAAAAAATCCTGGAAGGTCATGTAGTGGCGGTTGGAGCTTGAAAACACCCGGTTTGATAAAGACAAAACTGGAGCATGCAAATGATGTATAAGAGATGAAAGGCTTAAACGGTCACAACTATTTGCAGCGTAGCGTTACCCAGCTGTGCAAGGCAACATCAATGATCGTGAGACACACAGCAATTCAACTTAATACGGGAATCGAATTGTCTGTCGCTTTTGTGGGACAGGGCGCTCTCAACCGCCCAAAGCTCACGGCTCCTTGACTCGGCAGCGAGGCGACCAAAAATGCCTCAACGTGCTCGCCCCAACATTATGTGAGTCTTACGGGCGCCCATGACTTACATGTTACTTCCAGGCCGTGGGGCAGCCTGGTAATCCGCGCATGAGAAGATTGGACGTCAAGATTAACGGCATTTAAGAAGCTCGGGCATAGGACGTGAGTGAGGATGATGTGGGGGCTTCTTGTTGACCCGCAGCCACGAAATTACTTATGGGATCGGGGAACATTGTTGTGATTTCAGATAATCAACTCGAAACTATTTTTATCAGTTCCCACTACTTCTTATCGATTTGGACCCTGAATCCTGAATGGGACCATAGAGCGCATTCCCGACGCGACGCGACGCGACACGAGCAGCGATGATATGGCTTATGAATGCAGACAATGGCAGCAATGGAAATCCACAGAACCGTGCTGTCATGAAGACTCTGTGCAAATAATGAAGATCTTCGAGGTTCATCAAGACAAACATGAGTTGTGGAAAGACATCCCCACCCCGTCAAATGTCGATTAGCAATCTGCGCAGGCTCGGCACGAAACCTTCCCAGATGTGTCAAGAGGCATAATTCGAACCTTGGGAAGACAAGAGGAGCTTGGCAGAACGGTCAACTGTGACCGGCTCAGACTCTATTCTATGGAGTCTTGTTTGACCATTGGCTGTGTGACTCCTCACGAAGTCAATATGATCAGACCATCGTGACAACGCACTGCCGCATGAACAAAGTCAGGAACACGATCCGCTGTATCCCGCATTGGGTGGAGTGGACAGGGAGACTCGTCAACAAATAACTGTCATCCTCGCAGCCGCCAGTGTCGGATGCCAAAAAAGGCGAATACGAAGTATCATGTAGGCAGCCAGTCCCCAGTGACTCGGTGCCACGTAGAAGCAAGCGTGTGAAGTCAGGAAATTTTCCACGACCGTTCTCACCAGACCCCGTCCCTTTCCCGTGTGGCAACCGATCTGTAGGCAGATCCGGACGGCGCATGCATCCCGGGCAGATCTGAAGTGGAGGCGGGGTATGGACACTTGGTTGTCAGGCCATCTTGTGATCCCGTCCGGACGAACAGTTCTCACATGATTTGACATGGGCGGCCGGCTTGACTGAGGAGGCCGAGCATGTTTCGTCGGAACCGCATGTTCCCCGGATCCGCACGGCCAAACATTTCTGTGTGTCCGCGGGGAGAGGAGGGGGGGGGGGTCAACGATCACCTCTGTCAATCACAAGCACAGCATGCATGGGAGGGAGCCAAATAACGTCCCGAGTCAAAACCCGATTTTAAGGTTTTTGACGAGGTTGTCTAAATGAATATCCACTCCTTCCTCACAAATATGTATGTAGGCGAGCCCGAAGACAATCAATGAATGCTAAGACCTTTGGCGGAAGCCAAAACACAGACAAAGAAATTCATTAGTCGACACACACTCTCGCTTGGGTGCATCAAGACGGGTTGGCTCCCTCGGGGCGGGCTGTCAGAAAAAAATTAGAGTTTAGCCGACCTCAGTAACCGAGGGAACGGCAGCCTCGGCGAGCCCAATGGTCTGACATGAAGAAACCACCCCCCCCCCCCACACACACGCCCTTATGTGTTTAGTCAACCACAGTGTGTTTGTATTTCGCGCAACGAACGCCGTGCATCCCGAGGGACAGCCCAAAAGGCGTCAGGTGAGATTTTAGGACGGGCCGCAGAGGACAAAGGAAGCCCCCCCCTGCCTCGGGCGGGAGGGTGGCTTTGTCTTCCCGAGCCAGCGAAAACGACCAGGGCGGGCGGGGACAAGACACAAAGAAAACAAAAAAGGCCCCGTTCGGTCCTGTCAGCAGCAAATAAGCTCATGCCGGACCGAGGGGCGGGCCACGAAACCCGCGGGCGGTGCAAGACGAGCGTTTTTCTTGTCTTCTTGTCTCGTCTGTCTGTTTGGCTGTTGCTGCGGCGCCCGGCTGGCGCGGCCTTTTGGGACCCGTATGTGAACCAATCCTGGGCTAATCACATTGAGAAAACGGTCCAGTTTGAACCCAGCCGTCCCGGAAGATGTCGCGATTACTGCATAGTACAAACGATGTGATTGCCAATTCTTTGCGGGTGGTTCGACCCGGCAGCTGCCCAGGTGGTGTCGCCCAACCCCCCGGCATCTGATACGCCTCTCCTGTGCCAATGTTGCATTCCTCGCGGCTGAGCTCTATTTGTGGCACCGACAGGGGAGCATGCGCGCTTATGCCAGTGGGTCGCGTTTGGCAGGGGCAAATATCTGCCGTAGGATCTGGGTGTTGGTTGATGTTTCCAACGGCCAAGAGAGAGGCCTGTTACGGCGTGGAGGCTCAACCAGAGTGCCTTGCATGCGCCCGTGCATACTTAGTACCCGTGGCAGTTTCAAGGGTAGTTGTACGCAGGCAGAGGACTGGGGAGTGAATAGGAAGTAGTGGTGGGCCTAGACCGGATCAGGGGACCCCAAGCGGGCTCGCGAGGTGGCATCTCGCCGACCTCCTCGGGGGGTCGCAGGCACCCCGTCCCGGCGCATAGTTGAAGGAGAGGTTTCGCGTTGATGTTGGCTCGCCGTCCCCGCCGTGGGAAGGGCCCACCCAAGGCCATCCGTCTCCTGAAATAACCCATCAGCTGAAAGGGGGAAAAACAATCAACGTTCTGGCCTAACGAACAGGCGACCTCGCTGTTCCCTCCGATGTGACGGACGGGCCAGCTGGCACCATCCTGGCGTATCCGGCAATGACTCGGTGTCGTGGAATTCGAAGACTCCACGGGCGGGATTTTAGGGGTCCAAACAAGACGTTTTGGCGGGCATGATCCAGGCTTTCACCCCCCACGGCGACACTGGTCCCCTGGGGCCAAACCATAATAAGCGGACCGCAGGGCTGAGCGAACCACGAGCCACCATGCGTGCAGGCGTGGCAGCTCTTGACATGGCCCCGCGCAGCGCAGCGAACACGCCGGATATGGTTTGCCAAGCTCACACGTTTTTAACTCAGCCACAAGTCCCGAGCATGGATGTTTCGAAGAATGGAGGAAGATGGAACAATAACAAATGCTGCGATACAGATATGCAATGTCGTGTTGCGACGAACGGGGCCCTTGCATCGAAAACGCAAGAGGTGAGTGGGTAGGCGGGGGAATTACCATGCCCTCGGGGCCACAAGCCTCTTCGGACCGGAGTCAGGGGCTCATCGAACTCGGGACAAGAAACACCATCGGAGTTTGCGATCGGCGCTGTCGGGGCCTGTCACTTCACACAGGCACCCATCGCACGAAAAAGTAGACGCGATGGACTCGTCAGTACGGAGGACTGCTCCGTGAGGAGTCACCCAGGATCGGCTCCGAGAGGGAACATCGAGATCTCCCTCGCTCCCGGAAGGCCGCTAGGCTAGGCGGGTGTTTTGCAGGTGCCAATCAACA